CAAGGGATGGCTCCCTATTGCTCAACCACGTTATGTATGCTGATGACTTGGTAATAGCTGCTCAGTCAGAGGAGGAGTTGGAGACGCTGCTGCTGAGACTGGAGCGTGCCACTAAGAGGTGGGGCCTTACCATCAGCCCCACCAAAACTAAGCACCTGCCTGGGTATTTTGTACCATCGGACACTCCACCCCCACAACTCCCAATCGGTGATGGGGCAGTTGTGGAGAGAGTGGAGAGTTTCCCATACCTGGGCAGTGTGCTTATGACTGGCTCCAGTTTAACAGCAGAGGTCTCACTCCGAATCAGTCGAGCGGCAATATCTTTTCATCGGTTGCGTAACGCTGTGTGGAAGCTACCTGGTCTGTCGCTCCGCACTAAGCTTCAGGTCTTCTCGGCCACGGTCATTCCCTCCCTTCTCTACGCTTGCGAAACGTGGACCCCCCTAATGGAACATCTTCGCCGGTTAGAAACATTTAGGCTGACCTGCCTACGATCCATCCTGGGTTTAACCAGACTGGATTGTGTGAGGAGCTCACAAATCCTTGAAAGATCTGGGCAGGGTCCCATCGGTGAGCTCCTCCGGCAGGCAAGGCTGCGATGGCTGGGTCATGTAGCCCGCATGCCCAGCCACCGCATGCCGAAACAGCTTTTGTTTGGCCGGATTGAGGGGGCTAAGCGGGCGCGGCACGGGCTAGAGAAGAGATGGAGTGATGTGGTACAGGAGGACGTGGAGCTGAGTGGACTTGCCGATGACTGGTACCAGCGGTGTCAAGATCGGCCTCTGTGGAGGAGGCTCGTGAAGGATGCTACTGGGCAGTTGGAGGCAGTCGCCCTCCAACAACAACGGAGGGCGGAGGAGCGACGCTCACAACAGCGAGCGGAGCGCCGGGTGGCTAAAGCACAGCAGGTTGGCACAGTAGGGGGCACAGGTGGTGCATCAGCCAGTCATCTCAGTCAGTCGACCCGTGGCACCTGGGTCTGCCCCGTGACCTCCTGCCAGCGGGCGTTCGACACTTCACGTGGCCTCAGGGTGCACATAGCCTGGCACAAGCGTCGTGGTGACGTCACCGCCACTTAGTGGCGAATGGCGGTTGTTGTTGTTATGTGTGTATGTGCGTGCGTGTGCGTGGGTGTAGCGCGAACCTGGCGCCCTGGGTTCGATTCCCGCTCACGGCCAATCACCGGTGACGATTATCTGAACCGGTCCTGGGCCTCCCCGCGGTCGACTCAGCCTCAAATGAGTACTTGGTGCGATGTGCAGTAAACATCGCCATTGGGGAGACAAAGGCGGCCGGGCCTGGTGCTGGCCACCCACCCCCCTCGTGTGCCGTGCCGGCCTTCACAGGTGCTCCTCGCTAACAGCACTTGCCCCTTACAGCCTGTTACAGGCTACACGGGGGATCTTTGTCTTGTGTGGGGAGCGGTGGTGCAGCGGTTAGCGAGCTGTGCTACCAACCCGGCGACCCGGGTTCGATTCCCGATCACACCAGGTGGTGATTATTTTGATCCGTTCTGTCCCTCCCCTGGGTCGACTCAGCCTCAACACACACGCATACGAAAGACAAAGATGCCCCGCGTGTAGCCTTCACAGACTGTTGGGGCAAGTGCTGCTAGCGAGTAGCAGCGCCTCGCAAGGCCAGAACGGCGGCACAGTGGCGATGTTTACTGCACACATTTGAGGCCGAGTCGACCTAGGGGGAGGCTCAGGACCGGTTCAGATAAATCGTCGCCGGTGTTGGCCGCGAGCGGGAATCGACCTCGTGTCTCCATAGCGCTGACCGCTACGCCACAGCTCCCCACGCAGACACACGAACACTCACGCCCACCCACACCACCTCCCCCCGGCATCCTCCTCCCCCTCCTCACCCCCCCCCCCTCCTCTCTCACGCCACGCGCCCTGTGATCGACTCTTTGACATCAAAGATTCTGCGCGGGGTCCCGTGTAATTGCATCCTCGGGCTCTCTCAAAGGAGCAAGCCCCCCCCCCCCCCCCCTTATCTCCCCCCCCACCCCCCAGATGCAGTATTCATGAGCCGTGACACGCACGGAGTTTTAACTCGTGGATTTTAACCCAGTGCTGGTCGTGAGCCTGCGTTCATATCCCGCCGTCTCTATCTCTCGCCTATCCCTCCATCTCTCCCCTTAATCCCCATCTCCCTCCCTCCGTTATCCCCTCTCTCTCTCTTTATTTTTACCATCAGAGGAAACAAGAAGATGCTCGGTGTAGTCGGAACTTTGCTTCGTTCATCATTTCGGTTTTTTCAATGCTTTGCTTTATGTAACCCCCTTTTTTTAAATGAAAGATTTCACGAAAGATTTCACGCTCTGCTCTCCTTCTTAACCCTTCCCTCTCTCTCTACCCCCTCTCTCTCTCTACCCCCTCTCTCTCTACCCCCTATCTCTCTACCCCCTCTCTCTCTCTACCCCCTCTCTCTCTACCCCCTCTCTCTCTCTACCCCCTATCTCTCTACCCCCTCTCTCTCTCAACCCCCTCTCTCTCTACCCCCTCTATCTCTCTCTACTCCCTCTCTCTCTACCCCCTCTCTACCCCCTCTCTCTCTACCCCCCTCTCTCTCTACCCCTCTCTCTCTACCCCCTCTCTCTCTACCCCCTCTCTCTCTACCCCCTCTCTCTCTACCCCCTCTCTCTCTACCCCCTCTCTCTCTACCCCCTCTCTCTCTCTACCCCCTATCTCTCTACCCCCTCTCTCTCTACCCCCTCTCTCTCTACCCCCTCTCTCTACCCCCTCTCTCTCTCTACCCCCTATCTCTCTACCCCCTCTCTCTCTCTACCCCCTCTCTCTCTACCCCCTCTCTCTCTCTACCCCCTATCTCTCTACCCCCTCTCTCTCTCTACCCCCTCTCTCTCTACCCCCTCTATCTCTCTCTACTCCCTCTCTCTCTACCCCCTCTCTACCCCCTCTCTCTCTACCCCCTCTCTCTCTACCCCCTCTCTCTCTACCCCCTTTCTCTCTACCCCCTCTCTCTCTACCCCCTCTCTCTCTACCCCCTCTCTCTCTCTACCCCCCTCTCTCTCTACCCCCTCTCTCTCTACCCCCTCTCTCTCTCTACCCCCTATCTCTCTACCCCCTCTCTCTCTACCCCCTCTCTCTCTACCCCCTCTCTCTACCCCCTCTCTCTCTCTACCCCCTCTCTCTCTCTCTACCCCCTCTCTCTCTCTACCCCCTCTCTCTCTCTCTATCCCCTCTCTCTCTCTACCCCCTCTCTACCCCCTCTCTCTCTACCCCCTATCTCTCTACCCCCTCTTTCTACCCCCTATCTCTCTACCCCCTCTCTCTACCCCCTATCTCTCTACCCCCTCTCTCTCTACCTCCTCTCTTTCTCTACCCTCTCTCTCTCTCTACCCCCTCTCTCTCTACCCCCTCTCTCTCTACCCCCTCTCTCCCTACTCCATGTCTATGTTCCCCCTGTTTTCTATGTACATATTTGTAAAAAAAACTACGACAAGTGCTGCATCTGCACCCCGCCCTTCCCGCAGCTCAGATCTGCACGCAGAGCTCTCCGTGTTCTGCCAACGAGCACTCTCCACCCTACCCATCCCTCCGTGATCCCCTCTCCCTGTCTCTCTGCTGGACAGACAGAGGGGATGTTGACAGTGGGGAGGGAGGATGGGGGTTGTGGGAGAGAGGCAGAGAGAGAGAGAGAGATCATCACAAAGAGCGACCGTGGAGGGCGAGTGAGAGGGTGGAGTGAGGTGGATGACAGGAGGGAGGGAGGGAACGGGATCTTTGCTAGACACCTCGTGACGACGGGGGGGGGGGGGGGGCCTTCATCCAGCTGGATGACAGAGTGCCAGCAACCACTCCAACAACGTCGCACTGAGCTTGCAACGCAGAGGAGGCCACCGGTTCGACTCCCAATCTCCCAGGGTGCCAGTTGAAGCAATGGGATCCATACTTAAAAATTGTATCTAAAGCTTTCGTGACTGCAGGGATTCATATTCTTGGTTCTTTCGGTAAAGTCACCACGTAGAAGGGAAACAATGAAATAATAAAAATATAAAACAATACAATTTTCTTGCTGTGGTTTTCACACCTGATGATGATTGTTTGTGTTGCAGTCGAAACGTCGTGATAATTTTTATTGTTTTATATTTTTATTATTTTATTGTTTCTCTTCTACGTGAATTTACCGAATAGGGATCCATACTCTTTGGTTCTTTCGGTAAAGTTACGTAGGTAGAAAATAAAATAAATCACGACGTTTCGGGAAGCAACACAAGCGTCCGAAAGAGGGGGTTGGTGGCCAGCACCACGCCCGACCGCCTTTGTCTCCCCAGTGGCGATGTTTACCACACACCGCACCGGGTACTCATTTGAGGCTGAGTCGACCTAGGGGAGGCCCAGGACCGGTTCAGATAATCGTCACTTTACCGAAGGAACCAAATAGAATGAATTCCTGCAGTCACGAAAGCTTCAAATCAAGATTCAATGGGTCCCAGTTTTATTAAAAACCCACCACCGCCTCTGTGCCTCTGGGGTAAAGTGTGGCGGGTGACGCCCTCACTTGATTAAGAGCTTCACAGATAATCGGATTCATCCAGTCTACGTAAATATTCTGATTATTTATTCCTCTTTAAAGACGTACCGGCCATAGTGGAAGAGTAGGCCAAGTACCACTCTAGAGAAGGAAGAGGAGGAGGCACTCTATAGCTCTCCTCCGGCGCAGAGGCCTCTTCCGCCAGCAGTGGCCAGAGCAAGGCAATTGCAGGGGCTGCGCCTTGAACTACGCGTCTACCTATGCAGACTAAGAAATACAATTGTCCTCGTCAATCCAAACTACGATATCCATCCAGGCATTGCTTATGCGTCCTGGGGATTACAATCGCGCCTCCGAGTCCATCCAAACTACGATATCCACATCCCGGCCTTGATTATGCGTGCTGGTGATTACAATAGCGCCTATGCGCGTTGCGATATTCAACGCGTCGCTTATTCGCTCTACGATATGTAATCGTGCCGCGCCCATGCGTTGTGGGAAATCTAATGTGTGCGTGACGTCACGGGAACCCGGAAGTGAAGCGAGACGCGCTGAGCACGTGGAGGTGAGAGCTCTGAAGGGGGTTTAGCAATCATCCGGTGCGTGTGGTGGTGGTGGCGGCATCATCAGCATCAGCACTATCGTCAGCGCTAATCAGCGCTAATCAGCACTATCATCAGCAAGCAGTAGCTTCAGTAACAAAGACAAAGATCCCTCGTGTAGCCTGTAACAGGCTGTAGGGGCAAGTGCTGTTAGCGAGCAGCGCCTATAAAGGCCGGCACGGCACACGAGGGGGTGGGTGGCCAGCACCACGCCCGACCGCCTTTGTCTCCCCAGTGGCGATGTTTTACTCTCACACCGCACCAAAATACTCATTTTGAGGCTGAGTCGATCTAGGTGAGAGGCCCAGGACCGGTTCAGATAATCGTCACCGGTGTTGGCCGTGAGCGGGAATCGAACCCGGGTCGCCAGGTTCGTAGCGCTAACCGCTACACCACCGCTCCCACAGGAATAAAGACAAAGATCCCCCGTACAGACTTAACAGACTGTTGGGGCAAGTGCTGTTAGCAAGTAGCACGTAACAGCAATGTAACCAGCAGCATCAGCGGTCACTGTCATTCAGTAGCAGTACCACCACCAACTTCATCTGCAGCAGTAGTATCACCAGCACTGAGCAGCAGTAGCATAAGCAGCAGTGGCATCAGCAGCGGCATCAGCAGCAATAGCATCGGCACTATCATCAGCAGCAGTAGTACCATCAGCACTGTGACCAGCAATAGCATCATCATCTGCATCCGCACTAAAAATCAGTAGCATCAGCAGCAGTATAATTATATCAGCAGTATCATGAGCAGTATCATCATCAGTAACATCGCCACAACCATTATCAGCAGCAGTACCATCATCAGCATCTGCACAAAAACAATCAGCAGTAGTAGCTTCAGCAGCAGTATCATCAGCAGTAGCATCAGTATCATCATCAGCAGCAACAATAACAATGCCACAACCATCAGCAGCAGTATCATCAGCATCTCCACACAAAATCAGCGGCAGTAGCATCATCAGCAGCAGTATCATCAGCATCGGTAACATCGCCACAACCATCATCTTCATCAGCTGCAGCATCATCATCATCAGCGTCTGCATGGTCGGCGGACGTGGCTATCATTAACGTAGCGCGTTACTCAGCACCGTGGAGGAAGCAGCGAGGGTTATTGGTTCACACACAGATGTTGCGAAACTCGATTTTACAATACCTATCTCGTACGATACGAGATCCACTATGAATCGTATTTTGCTAAATCTCATCGTATGGTGATTATCGTTAGTTCTTTTTTTTTAATTCAAGTTAATAATTTCTCGAAACTATTCAGTTGTTTTAAAGCAACAAAAATAACTGATGTCTTACATCCCACGGCCAAGTGGTATACATTCCACATTCCCATGGCGGGGTCGCGGATATCCATAGACCCACCACCGTTTACTCCGCCGCAAAGTGGTACTCGTTTTTATCGACCCCGGACCGAGGGACGGATGATGGGCTGAGTCAACCCACGCAGCCGGGAAGTGAACTCGCGACCTTCCGAGCGCCGCGTTGCGGGGAAGCCGGCCAGCAGTTCTTGTCCTGTGGGATGGACTTGCCCTCGCCATAGTAATGTGGAATTTACACCGCTTGGCTCTGCGGGGGCTGCACACGGGAGATAAGCACCCAATGCATCGATGCTCATTCGAGCAGCAGGAGAAATAAACAAGTCGCCAGTTCTCTTGGTATTATTGTGTTTGTTTTTACACATCCCGTCAGCCTTCTGGGAGAGCATCGGTTATTTTGTGTTTGGCCGGATCGTGTGATTAATATCTATCGTGATATCACCATATCGTGATATCGCCATATCGGGATATCACCATCTCGTGGTATCACCATATCGTGATATCACCATATCGTGGTATCACCATATCGTGATATCACCATATCGTGATGTTACCTCCTGCCGGCAGGCGTTCGACACTTGACGTGGCCTCAACGTGCACCTAGCTTGGCACAAGCGCCGTGGTGACGTCACCGCCACTTCGTGGCGAATGGCGGCCGTTGTTGTTGTTGTGAGTAGGGTAGAGTGGTTAGCGCGCTGCGCTACGAACCCGGCGATCCAAGTTCGATTTACACTCGTGGACACCAACGCCAGTGACGATTATCTGATCCAGTCCCCGGGCCTCCCCTAGGTCGGCTTAGCCTAAAATCAGTACCTGCTGCAATGTGTAAACATCGCCACAGGGAGACAAAGGCGGCCGGTCGTGGTGCTGACAACCCACCCCCTCGTGTGGCGTAGCGGCCTTCATAGATGCTACTCGCGAACAGCACTGCTAAGGATATACGGGGGATCTTTGTCTCGTGTGAGAGCGTGCGTGGAGTTTGTTGCTTCTGTTCTGCAGAGTGATTGTGTGTGTTGAGTTTCTGTTTCTCTTGTTCTGCAGAGTGTGAGTGAGTGTGGAGTTTCTGTTCTGTTCTGCAGAGTGATAGTGAGTGTGGAGTGTGTGTGTTCTCTTGTTCTGCAGAGTGTGAGTGAGTGTGGAGTTTCTATTTCTCTTGTTCTGCAGAGTGTGAGTGAGTGTGGAGTTTGTGTTGCTTCTGTTCTGCAGAGTGATAGTGAGTGTGGAGTGTGTGTGTTCTCTTGTTCTGCAGAGTGTGAGTTGAGTGTGGAGTTTGTTGCTTCTGTTCTGCAGAGTGTGAGTGTGGAGTTTCTGTTTCTCTTGTTCTGCAGAGTGAGTGAGTGTGGAGTTTCTGTTGCTTCTGTTCTGCAGAGTGATAGTGAGTGTGGAGTGTGTGTGTTCTCTTGTTCTGTAGAGTGTGAGTGTGTGTGTTCTCTTGTTCTGCAGAGTGATAGTGAGTGTGGAGTGTGTGTGTTCTCTTGTTCTGTAGAGTGATAGTGAGTGTGGAGTTTGTGTTGCTTCTGTTCTGCAGAGTGAGTGTGGAGTTTCTGTTTCTCTTGTTTTGCAGAGTGAGTGAGTGTGGAGTTTGTGTTGCTTCTGTTCTGCAGAGTGAGTGTGGAGTTTGTGCTGCTTCTGTTCTGCAGAGTGTGAGTACGTGGAGTGTGTGTGTTCTCTTGTTCTGCAGAGTGTGAGTGTGGAGTTTCTGTTTCTCTTGTTCTGCAGAGTGTGAGTGCGTGGAGTGTGTGTGTTCTCTTGTTCTTCAGAGTGAGTGTGGAGTTTCTGTTTCTTTTGTTCTGCAGAGTGTGAGTGTGTGTGTGTTCTATTGTTCTGCAGAGTGAGTGTGTGTGTTCTCTTGTTCTTCAGAGTGAGTGTGGAGTTTCTATTTCTCTTGTTCTGCAGAGTGTGAGTGTGGAGTTTCTGTTTCTCTTGTTCTGCAGAGTGTGAGTGTGTGTGTTCTCTTGTTCTGCATAGGTTTCCTCCGGGTTCCCCAGTTTCGCCCTCCTAGCCAAACCCACACACCCAGTAGAACTGCTGTCGGCCAAAACCACATCCCCAGTGCTGAAACTAAAATCACCTGCGAATCACTCGCAAGCACGATATCGACCACACAGCAGCAGCAGCAGCAGCATCGCCCGCGGCTGCAAAATCTTGGCAGGACCCTCCTGTAAAAGTGTCTTGAGACTCCGTGATGTTTGACTGGCTAATCAAGTAGTGATCGTTTGCACCAATGCCCCACTGTCGCACCGACCCCCTGCAGCAATGCTGGACAGGGCGCTGTCCAGGGTGCTGAACGGGGGCAGCTCGCTGTCCATGGTGCTGAACGGGGGCAGCTCGCTGTCCAGGGTGCTGAACGGGGGCAGCTCGCTGTCCAGGGTGCTGAACGGCGGGAGGGCGCTGTCCAGGGTGCTGAACGGCGGGAGGGCGCTGTCCAGGGCGCCGACGGAGGGCAGCTGCCATGCGTGGGCAGTAAGAAGGCCATGCCCGAGGGTGGGGCTAGGGGCGGCGGGGCAGCATACGGGGGCAGCGGGGCAGGGCCCGGGAGAGGAAGGAGGAGGAGGTGGGCAGCAGCAGCAGCAGCAGCAGGCGTGGCCAGCAGCGCGCAGCGTCCGGGAGCTGCTCGGCAGCAGTGAGCACGGCGCGGCAGTCACGGTGCAGGTGAGTGAGGGGGGGGGGGGTGACGGTGAGAGTGGTGAGTGGTGAGTGAGGGTGGTGAGTGAGGGGGGTGAGTGAGGGTGGTGAGTGAGGGTGGTGAGTGAGGGGTGGGGGTGAGGGTGGTGAGTGAGGGGGGGGGTGAGGGTGGTGCGTGAGGTGGGGGGGTGAGTGAGGGTGGTGAGTGAGGGGGAGGGGTGAGTGAGGGTGGTGAGTGAGGGGGAGGGGTGAGTGAGGGTGGTGAGTGAGGGGGGGGCGAGGGTGGTTAGTGAGAGTGGTGAGTGAGGGTGGTGAGTGAGAATGGGGTAAGGGTGGTGAGTTAGAGGGGGGGTGGGTGAGGGTGGTGAGTGAGGGGGGGTGGGTGAGAATGGGGTGAGGGTGGTGAGTTAGAGGGGGGGGGGTGGTTGAGGGTGGTGAGTGAGGGGGGGTGGGTGAGAATGGGGTGAGGGTGGTGAGTTATAGGGGGGTTTGTGAGTGCTAGGGAGTGTGGTGAGTGAGGGTGGTGAGCGGGAGTGGTGAGTGAGGGTGGTGAGTGAGAGTGCTGAGTGAGGGTGGTGAGTGCTAGGGAGAGTGGTGAGTGAGAGTGGTGAGTGAGGGTGGTGAGTGAGGGTGGTGAGTGAGAGTGGTGAGTGAGGGTGGTGAGTGCTAGGGAGAGTAATTGTCTTTGTGCATGGGGAGGAGCGGTGGTGCAGCGGTTAGCGCTACGCTGCGCTCCGAACCCGGCGACCCGAGTTCAATTCCCGCTCACGGCCACCAACACCACCGGTGACGATTTTCTGAACCGGTCCTGGGCCTCCGCTCGATCTACTCAGCCTCAAATGAGTACCTGGTGCGGTGTGCAGTAAACATCGCTAGCACCGGGGAGACAAAGGCGGCCGGGCGTGGTGCTGGCCACCCACAGTGCCGGCCTTCGTAGGCGCTGCTACTCGCTCACGGCACTCGCCCCAGCAGTCTGCTGAGGCTACACGGGGGATCTTTGTCTTTTGCAGGGCTGGGTGCAGTCTGTGCGCTCGCAGAAGGACGTGGTGTTCGTGGACGTGTCCGACGGTTCGTGCGTGACCCCAGTGCAGGTGGTGACCTCTCCCCAGCAGCACCAGCGGTGAGAGGCCATTGGCGAGCTCCTTGTTAAGGCCGTAACCCACAGACGCACGCAGATGGGGGATACAGGTAAAGCTGCCCGTGGTACGGTACAGCCTTCACACTGTCGGGGCCAAGTGCCGCGATCGAGCAGCACTTGCGAAGGCCGGCAAGCGTCGTGCACGACGCGGCCCGCTCTCGGCCGCCTTTGTCTTCCCAGCGCTTTATGTTTTATAGGCACCGCGCCGGCTTCTCATTTCAGGCAGAGTCGACCTAGGGGAGGCCCTGGACCAGTTTCAGAGAATCGTCGCTGGTGCTGGTGGCCGTGAGCGGGAATTGAACTCGGGTCCCCGGGCTCGTAGCGTATTTGCGCCAACCGCTGCCGCTCCCCCGTACGCAGTCAAGGTGCACCTAGCCTGGCACAGGCACCCTGTGGTGACGTCGCCGCCACTCGGGGGCGAACGGCGGTTGTTGCTGCTGCTGCTGTGGTTGTTGTTGAATCTGTGGTTGTTGTTGTCTCTTGTTGTTGTTTACTCTGATTGTTGTTGTTGACTCTTGTTGTCTCTTGTTGTTTACTCTGATTGTTGTTGTTGACTCTTGTTGTTGTTGTTGGCTCTTGTTGTTATTGACTCTTGTTGTTGTTGACTCTGTGGTGGTTGTCGTTGTCTCTTGTTGTTGACTCTGATTGTTGTTGTTGACTCTTGTTGTTGTTGTTGTTGACTCTGTGGTGGTTGTTGTTGTTGTTGACTGGTTGTTATCGCCGGCTCCGTGCGGTAGTTCTCTGAATGCCGGCTGCTCGGTGGAGGTGCGGGGGATCTGGCAAAGCCGGGGCGAGCGGCGCAGCGGGGAGGTCCACGCGGCTCACGTCCACGTGGTCGGGGCCTGTGACTCACTGGTGCGGGGACACGCCGAGGAGACGCACGGGGGGGAGGGGGGCGGGGGGGACTCAGGGGGACACGTGGGGGACACACGGGGAGGGGACGCAGGGATGGGGAGGGACACACGTGGGAGGACACGTGGGGGGCACGGGGGGGGACATGTGGGGGGACACGTGGGAGGACACGGGGGGGACAGGGGGGGGGGGACACGTGGGAGGACACGTGGGGGACAGGGGGGGGACGGGGGGGACGCGTGGGGGGACACGTGGGGGACAGGGGGGGATACGTGGGGGGACACGTGGGGGGACAGGGGGGAATGGGGGGACAGGGGGGGGACACGTGGGAGACAGGGGGGGGGGCGCGTGGGGGGACACGTAGGGGACGGGGGGACACGTGGGGGGACATGGAGGGATACAGGGGGAGGGATACGGGGAGGGACACGGGGTCACGTGGGGGATGTCGGGATGGGACATACACGTGGGGGGACATTGGGATGCACGGGGGGGGGAGGTCGACTCAGCCTGAGCTGAGTACTTGGCGTGGTGCGTATTAAACATCGCCACTGGGGGAGAGACAAAGGCGGCCGGGCGTGGTGCTGGCCACCCACCCCCTCGTGTGCCACAGTGGCGGTAGCCTTCGTAGGCGCTGCTGCTCGCTACTTGCCCCAGCATCCTGACGAGGCTACACAGGGGACCTTTGTCTCTACACGCTTGTGTGTGTACGCTTGTGTGTGTGTGTACGCGTGTATGTGTGTGTACGCTTGTGTGTGTGTGTACGCGTGTATGTGTGTGTACGCTTGTGTGTGTGTACGCTTGTGTGTGTGTGTACGCGTGTGTGTGTGTACGCGTGCGTGTGTGTGTGTACGCGTGCGTGTGTGTGTACGCGTGTGTGTGTGTGTACACGTCCGGCAAAACAACCCCCTACCTTCTCGCGGTGCCGGACGGGCAACTCTGTCGTGGACAGCGCTGTGGGGGGAGATCCAATTTTGATTGGCTCCTCCCCTCATGGCATATGTGTCCACCACAGGGGCTAAACGGGGGCTCTGGACGGGTGCGAGGGGCTGGTAACCCCTCCACCTTCAATTAATTACCAGGAAACCACGAATAAAACTGAAATATGTAACAACTAAGCTTGTGCCGGAGGCCCCGGGGGGCCAGGCGTCTATGACGTCTCCTGGCCAAACCCCAATTGGCGGAGCCAGGAGATTGAATACCTACCCTCGGGGCTACTCCAGAAACAACGAAAAGCCACTACGGGTGGCCACGTGGAATGTTCGAACGCTCACTGCAGAGGAGAGGCTGCCACTCCTCTGTCGGGAGCTGGACCGGTACCGCCTGGATCTATGCGGCATTCAGGAGGTCCGGTGGACCGGCTCTGGCTCCTGCCACCATGAGGGGTGGACAGTCCTCTACTCGGGGCAGCAGACTGCCAAACAACAGGGTGTGGGTCTTCTTTTGAACAAAAGAATGAAGGGGGCGTGGGAGCGTGGCGGTGAGGTGTGGGAAGCTGTAAGCCCCAGGCTACTTTGGGCTCGCCTTCCCATCAACCGGAGGCGAGGAATGGTGGTCGTGGTTACTTATGCCCCCACCGAAGATGAACATCCGTGGAGGGATGCAGGCAAAGCCGATGAGTCAGATGCCTTCTATGACCTCCTGTCACAGGTGCTGGCTAAAGTGGCCCCTCGGGATAGAGTCATCATGTTGGGTGACTTCAATGCCCGAGTTGGTCATGATACTGGCACCTGGTCTGGAGTGATTGGAGGGCATGGGCCAGATCAGCTCAATAATAACGGTAGGAGGCTGCTAGATTTTTGTGCAGCCCATGGGCTTGTAATTACCAACACGCTGTTCCGGCATCGGCGCATCCACACAACATCATGGATGCATGCCGGGTCCAAGCAAGAACATCTGCTGGACTACATAGGGACGGACCAGCGAATGCGAGCCCATGTCCTTGACACCAGGACCTACCGTGGAGCTGATCTGCCCTCTGACCATCGACTAGTCATCTGTAAGATGCGCCTGCCATTCTTCCACTCCGGTGGTGGGTGTACACCCAGGACCCCATTCCAACCTAAAGTGGCCTGGTCTCAGTTATCTGATGAAAGTTGCAAGCGAGAATTTCATCATCGCTTGCGGCTGGGATTGGCATCGTCCCCGACTCCTCATGATGTCGAGGGTAAATGGGCGAGGTTTAGGACTGTGACTCATGCAGCTGCAATGGCTGCTTTGGGTACGCGGTCCAGACCTCCCCAGACACCCTGGATGACAGAGGAGTTGTTCAGGATGGTTGAGAAAAAGCGACAGGCCCACTGTCATCGGCTACAGAATCCCACGTCAGAGAATGAGGAGGCTTACCGCAGCCTTCGCTCGGAGGTTCGGAGAGCCGTGAGGCGCTGCAAGGATGGGTGGTGGTCGCGGGTTGCTGAGGAGATGGAGTCTGCCTCAGTGGCCCGTGATCACAAATCTCTATTTAACTCCATCAAAAAAGTAACCTGCAGCGCCACACCTATTACCATCATTAGGGGAAAAAACGGTGATCCAATTTCCGACCCCCAGGAACAGGTTCGCAGATTTGCTGAGCATTTCTGTGAGGTCCTGGGGGAGGGAAAATCCCTCAGCCAGGAAAAGATCGTGGCACAAAGTGAGGATGACCCTGCTGAGGATGCGGTGCCTCAAATATTGGATGAAGTCACCCCCTGTGAGTGGCTGGCTGAGGTGCCATCTGCTGAGGAAGTATTGAAGGCGATCCGGAGTCTGAGACCAGGAAAGGCAGCGGGCAGAGATGATCTCCCAAGCGAAATGCTGAGGGAGGGTGGCGTTTGTGCACAGACTGCCCTATATGACATCATAACAACAGTCTGGACCACTGGACGGGTTCCGCAGGATTGGAAGGATGCCCTGGTGGTCCCCCTTTTTAAGAAGGGGGACCGCACAGACTGTAACAACTACAGGGGCATCTCACTCCTCAGTGTGCCGGGAAAGGTCCTGGCAAGGATTATTCAGCATCGCCTTGCCAGGCACGCTGAGGAGAGGCTTGCGGAGCCCCAATGCGGTTTCAGGAAAGGGCGGTCCTGCACAGATGCCATATTTTCTGTCCGTCTGCTACAGCAGAGGTGTAGGGAATTCCAACAAGACCTACATCTCTGCTTTATTGACCTGGTCAAGGCCTATGATACCATCAGTAGGCCTGGGCTCTGGGTCGTTCTTCATGCTTTTGGAGTACCTGACCCTCTGCTCACGATCATTAAGGACCTTCATGATGGTGAGCGGGCCCGGGTAAAACTACGTGGCCGGGAGTCAGAGCCATTCCCTGTACACCTTGGGGTGCGACAGGGATGTCCTCTGGCTCCCACATTATTTAACATCTATTTTGACCACGTAGTTCGTGAAGCCTTCAATAGCTGTACCGGGGGAATCTCCATATGGTACAGATATAATGGGAGGCTAATCGATGCCCGGGTGCGGTCAAGGGATGGCTCCCTATTGCTCAACCACGTTATGTACGCTGATGACTTGGTAATAGCTGCTCAGTCAGAGGAGGAGTTGGAGACGCTGCTGCTGAGACTGGAGCGTGCCACTAAGAGGTGGGGCCTTACCATCAGCCCCACCAAAACTAAGCACCTGCCTGGGTATTTTGTACCATCGGACACTCCACCCCCACAACTCCAAATCGGTGATGGGGCAGTTGTGGAGAGAGTGGAGAGTTTCCCATACCTGGGCAGTGTGCTTATGACTGGCTCCAGTTTAACAGCAGAGGTCTCACTCCGAATCAGTCGAGCGGCAATATCTTTTCATCGGTTGCGTAACGCTGTGTGGAAGCTACCTGGTCTGTCGCTCCGCACTAAGCTTCAGGTCTTCTCGGCCACGGTCATTCCCTCCCTTCTCTACGCTTGCGAAACGTGGACCCCCCTAATGGAACATCTTCGCCGGTTAGAAACATTTAGGCTGGCCTGCCTACGATCCATCCTGGGTTTAACCAGACTGGATTGTGTGAGGAGCTCACAAATTCTTGAAAGATCTGGGCAGGGTCCCATCGGTGAGCTCCTCCGGCAGGCAAGGCTGCGATGGCTGGGTCATGTAGCCCGCATGCCCAGCCACCGCATGCCGAAACAGCTTTTGTTTGGCCGGATTGAGGGGGCTAAACGGGCGCGGCACGGGCTAGAGAAGAGATGGAGTGATGTGGTACAGGAGGACGTGGAGCTGAGTGGACTTGCCGATGACTGGTACCAGCGGTGTCAAGATCGGCCTCTGTGGAGGAGGCTCGTGAAGGATACTACTGGGCAGTTGGAGGCAGTCGCCCTCCAACAACAACGGAGGGCGGAGGAGCGACGCTCACAACAGCGAGCGGAGCGCCGGGTGGCTAAAGCACAGCGGGTTGGCACAGTAGGGGGCACAGGTGGTGCATCAGCCAGTCGTCTCAGTCAGTCGACCCGTGGCACCTGGGTCTGCCCCGTGACCTCCTGCCAGCGGGCGTTCGACACTTCACGTGGCCTCAGGGTGCACATAGCCTGGCACAAGCGTCGTGGTGACGTCACCGCCACTTAGTGGCGAATGGCGGTTGTTGTGTGTACGCGTGCGTGTGTGTGTACGTGTGTGTGTGTGTGTACGCGTGTGTGTGTGTACGCGTGTGTGTGTATACGCGTGTGTGTGTGTGTGTACACGTGTGTGTGTGTGTGTACGTGTGTGTGTGTGTACGCGTGTGTGTGTGTACGCGTGCGTGTGTGTGTGTGTACGCGTGCGTGTGTATGCGTGTGTGTGTGTACGCGTGTGTGTGTGTACGTGTGTGTGTGTACGCGTGTGTGTGTGTGTACGCGTGTGTGTGTACGTGTGTGTGTACGCGTGTGTGTGTGTACGCGTGCGTGTGTGTGTGTGTGTACGTGTGCGTGTGTGTGTGTACGCGTGTGTGTGTGTACGTGTGTGTACGTGTGTGTGTGTACGTGTGTGTGCGTGTACGTGTACGTGTGTGTGTGTACGTGTGTGTGTACGTGTGTGTACATGTGTGTGTACGTGTGTGTGTGTGTGTACGTGTGTGTGTACGTGTGTGTGTGTGTGTACGTGTGTGTGTGTGTGTACGTGTGTGTGTGTGTGTGTACGTGTGTGTGTGTGTACGTGTGTGTACGTGTGTGTGTGTACGTGTATGTGTGTGCGTGTGTGCAGGCGTTCCCCCTGAATCCCCGCGGGCGCCACCCTGCAGAGTTTGCGCGCCACCACCCCCACCTGCGCCCGCGCACCGCGACGTTTGCAGCGCTGCTGCGGGTGCGCCACGCGGCCACGCAAGCGCTGCACGCCCACCTGCAGGCGAGCGCCACGCCGCCCCACGTGACCCCCCGTGTCTCCCCGTGTCTCCCCGCGTGTCTCTCCGCGTGTCTCTCCCCGCGTCTCCCCGCGTGTCTCTCCCCGCGTCTCCCCGTGTCTCCTCGTGTGTTTGGCGTCTCCCCGTGTCTCCCCGTGCTTCTACACATTCCCCGCGTGTCCCCCGTTGTCTCCCCCCTTGTCTCCCCCTTGTCTCCCCCTTGTCCCCCCTTGTCTCCCCCCTTGTCTCCCCCTTGTCTCCCCCTTGTCTCCCCTTGTCTCCCCCCTTGTCTCCCCCTTGTCTCCCCCTTGTCTCCCCTTGTCTCCCTTGAGTCTCCCCGCTTCTCCCCGTGCCTGCCCGCGTCTCCCCCCGCGTCTCCCCGTGTCTCCTCGTGTGTTTGGCATCTCCCCGTGTCTCTCCGCGTGTCTCCCCCCGCGTCTCCCTGTGTCTCCTCGTGTGTTTGGCGTCTCCCCGTGCCTCCCCGCGTGTCCCTGCGTCGCTCCGTGTCTCTCCCCGTGCTTCCACACATTCCCCGCGTGTCCCCCGTTGTCTCCCGTTGTCTGCCCCCTTGTCTCCCCCCTTGTCTCCCCCTTGTCTCCCCCCTTGTCTCCCCGAGTCTCCCCGCTTCTCCCCGTGCCTGCCCGCGCCTCCCCGCGTGTCCCCGCGTCACGCCGTGTCTCTCGCCGTGCATCCACACATTCCCCGCGTGTCCCCGCGTTGTCTCCCCCTTGCCTCACCGCGTGTCCCACCGCGCGTCTCCCCGCGTGCACAGGCCGAGGGCTACGTCCACGTGCACACGCCCATCATCACCTCCAACGACTGCGAGGGTGCCGGGGAGCTCTTCCGCGTGGAGGTGAGAGGTGAACGGGAGCCACCAGGGAGACTCGGAGAGACGGCATCACGGAGGTCCCGGGGGTTCAGTGGAGGGACGGGGAGGAGTGGAGGTGAGAGAGGAGGGGAGAGGAAGGGGATGGGCGATTGAGAAGAGGTGGCGAGGCTTTAAGACAGGAACGGAAGGAGGTTAAGGAAGGGGACTGCTTAGTGTACAGGGGCAGTGTTGAGTCTATGGGTAGCAGTGTTGAGTCTATGGGTAGCAGTGTTGAGTCTATGGGCAGTGTTGAGTCTATGGGTAGCAGTGTTGAGTCTATGGGCAGTGTTGAGTCTATGGGTAGCAGTGTTGAGTCTATGGGCAGTGTTGAGTCTGTGGGCAGTGTTGAGTCTGTGGGCAGTGTTGAGTCTATGGGCAGTGTTGAGTCTGTGGGCAGTGTTGAGTCTATGGGCAGTGTTGAGTCTATGGGTAGTTTTGAGTCTATGGGTAGCAGTGTTGAGTCTATGGGCAGTGTTCAGTCTATGGGCAGTGTTGAGTCTATGGGTAGCAGTGTTGAGTCTATGGGCAGTGTTGAGTCTATGGGCAGTGTTGAGTCTTTGGGTAGTGTTGAGTCTATGGGCAGTGTTGAGTCTATGGTGCAGTGTTGAGTCTATGGGCAGTGTTGAGTCTATGGGTAGTGTTGAGTCTATGGGTAGCAGTGTTGAGTCTATGGGCAGGTTGAGTCTATGGGCAGTGTTGAGTCTTTGGGTAGTGTTGAGTCTATGGGCAGTGTTGAGTCTATGGGTAGTGTTGAGTCTATGGGTAGCAGTGTTGAGTCTATGGGCAGTGTTCAGTCTATGGGCAGTGTTGAGTCTATGGGTAGTGTTGAGTCTATGGGTAGCAGTGTTGAGTCTATGGGCAGTGTTGAGTCTATGGGCAGTGTTGAGTCTATGGTGCAGTGTTGAGTCTATGGGCAGTGTTGAGTCTATGGGTAGTGTTGAGTCTATGGGTAGTTTTGAGTCTATGGGTAGCAGTGTTGAGTCTATGGGTAGCAGTGTTGAGTCTATGGGCAGTGTTGAGTCTATGGGCAGTGTTGAGTCTTTGGGTTGTGTTGAGTCTATGGGCAGTGTTGAGTCTATGGTGCAGTGTTGAGTCTATGGGCAGTGTTGAGTCTATGGGTAGTGTTGAGTCTATGGGTAGCAGTGTTGAGTCTATGGGCAGTGTTGAGTCTATGGGCAGTGTTGAGTCTTTGGGTAGTGTTGAGTCTATGGGCAGTGTTGAGTCTATGGACAGTGTTGAGTCTATGGGTAGCAGTGTTGAGTGTATGGGCAGTGTTGAGTCTGTGGGTAGTGTTGAGTCTATGGGCAGTGTTGAGTCTATGGGTAGCAGTGTAAACCGTGGTTTCAAGGCTTCGCGTGTTGACAGTCTCAGCCCCAGTGAGTTGATGGTTGCAAATTACTCACACAGTGACCCATGAACTCACACAGGGACCAACAGACTCATCATACAGATATCCACAGACTCACACAGAGACTGATAGACTCACACAGAGACCGATAGACTCACACAGAGACCCATAGACTCACCACACAAAAACCCATAGACTCGCACAGAGACTCCGAGACTCACACAGAGACCCATGGAGTCACCACACAAAGACCCATAGACTCGCACAGAGACCCCGAGACTCACACATAGACCCATAGACTCACCACACAAAAACCCATAGACTCGCACAGAGACCCATAGACTCACACATAGACCCATAGACTCACCACACAAAGACCCATAGACTCGCACAGAGACCCATAGACTCACCACACAAAGACCACCACAAAGACTCACCCGGAGTGAGTTGTGGTTATGCGAATATGACGTGCGTATGGTTGTTGGTTGTAACGCGTGGTGGTGTCTCCCTCTGTGCCATGAGCTTGCCGGCTCACCGGGCGGGGGCGGAGGCTCACCGGGTGAGGCCGGTGGCTCGTCAGGTGAGGCCGGTGGCTCGCCGGGTGAGGCCGGTGGCTCGCCGGGTGAGGCCAGAGGCTCGCCGGGTGAGGCCGGTGGCTCGCCGGGTGAGGCCGGTGGCTCGCGGCGCGAGAGCTTCTTCGACGTCCCAGCCTACCTCACCGTGTCCGGCCAGCTCCACCTGGAGGCGGTGGCCAGGTGAGGGGGTGGGGAGGGGTGGGGGCGAGGGGTGGGGGCAGGGGGGAGGGGTGGGAGGGAGACTCCACCGGCTCCTGGCCGCTGAAAGCGAACAGCTGGTGGACGGACGGGCGACGGGGAGATGGGGGCGGTCTTCTTAACACATCGCCTGGGTCTGCCCTTCTGACATCCTGCACCTAGCCTGGCACGGCACGCCCGGCCAACAAAGGGGACGGCGCCGCTACCCTATTGCCAGAGGCCGGCCACCCACCCCCTGGCGTGCCGTTCCGGCCTTCGCGGGTGCTTCACGGCACTTGCCTCGGTGGCCCGCTGAGGCTGTTGGGGCGGGCGGGGTGGGATCTTTGTCTGCGCGTGCGTGTCCACAGCGGGCTGGCGCGTGCGTTCTCCCTGGGTCCGACGTTCCGGGCGGAGAGCTCCAACACGCGGCACCACCTCGCCGAGTTCTACATGCTGGAGGCGGAGCGTGCGTTCACCACGCGGATAGAGGAGCTGACTCAGGTACGCACGCACGCGCACGTACAAAGACAAAGATCCCCCGTGTAGCCTTGAACACACTGTTGGGGAAAGTGCTGTCAGCGAGCACCTATGAAGGCCGGCGTGGTGGCACTCGGGGGGGTGGGTGGCCAGCACCACGCATGGCCGCATCTCTCCAGTGGCGATGTTTACTGCACACCGCACCATGTCCTCATTTGAGGCTGAGTCGACCTAGGGGAGGCCCAGGACCGGTTCAGATAATCGTCACCGGTGTTGGCCGTGAGCGGGAATTGAACTTGGATTGTCAGGTTCGTAGCACAGCGCGCTAACCGCTACACCACCGCTCTCCACTCACGGACGTACACACACACGTACACAACAACAACAACAACCGCCATTCGCCACTAAGTGGCGGTGACGTCACCACGGCACTTGTGCCAGGCTAGGTGGACGTTGAGGCCACGTGAAATGTCGAATGCCTGCTGGCAGGATGCCACGGGTCGACTGACTGAGACGATGCACCACCTGTGCCCCCTACTGTGCCAACTTTTCCTGTGTTTTAGCCGCCCGGCGCTCCACTCGTTGTTGTGAGCGTCGCTCCACTGCCCTCCGTTGTTGCTGGAGGGCGACTGCCTCAAACTGCCCAGTAGCAGCGTCCTCCACGAGCCTCCTCCACAGACGCACACACCCCCATGCGTGTCTACGCCTATACGCGTAGACACACATGGGGCACAAGCGGGGGACTAGCGGGGGGCTAGCGGGGGCTAGAGGGGCTAGCAGAGGAGGCTAGAGAGAGCTCGTTTGACTCCAGCTGGGTGCCAGGCTAGGTGCAGGGCTAGTTAACTGGCTGGGTACCAGGCTAGGTGCAGGGCTAGTTAACTGGCTGGGTACCAGGCTAGGTGCAGGGCTAGTTAACGGGCTGGGTACCAGGCTAGGTGCAGGGCTAGTTAACAGGCCGGGTGCCAGGCTAGGTGCAGGGCTAGTTAACGTGCTGGGTACCAGGCTAGGTGCAGGGCGAGTTAACGTGCTGGGTACCAGGCTAGGTGCAGGGCTAGTTAACGGGCTGGGTGCCAGGCTAGGTGCAGGGCGAGTTAACTGGCTGGGTGCCAGGCTAGGTGCAGGGCTAGTTAACGAGCTGGGTGCCAGGCTAGGTGCAGGGCTAGTTAACGGGCTGGGTACCAGGCTAGGTGCAGGGCGAGTTAACGGGCTGGGTGCCAGGCTAGGTGCAGGGCTAGTTAACAGGCTGGGTACCAGGCTAGGTGCAGGGCCAGTTAACGCGCTGGGTGCCAGGCTAGGTGCAGGGCGAGTTAACGGGCTGGGTGCCAGGCTAGGTGCAGGGCTAGTTAACTGGCTGCGTGCCAGGCTAGGTGCAGGGCGAGTTAACGTGCTGGGTGCCAGGCTAGGTGCAGGGCCAGTTAACGTGCTGCGTGCCAGGCTAGGTGCTGTGTCCGTGTCTCCCCTGCAGCTAATGGAGCGTTGCTTCAAGGTGGCGACGGGCGCCATCTTGGAAGCCTGCCCTGACGACGTCGCCCTCTTCCACAAGGTCGTGACCCCTGGGCACCGGGTGAGTGGAGGGGGCAGCGGTAGTGTCATCGTCGTCATCATCGTCATCTCCACGTCATCACCCGAATCGTCATCAACATCACTCCTGTCATCATCACCATTATATCAAATCTCTTTGGGTTTCTGTGAATCTGTGAGCCTATGGGTCTCTGTGTGAGTCTATGGGTCTCTGTGTGAGTCTATGGGTCTCTGTGTGAGTCTATGGGTCTCTGTGTGAGTCTTTAGGTCTCTGTGTGAGTCAAGGGGTCTCTGTGTGAGTCTATGGGTCTCTGTTTGAGTATATTGTTCTCTGTGTGAGTCTATAGGTCTGTGTGAGTCTTTAGGTCTCTGTGTGAGTCTATGGGTTTCTGTGTAAGTCTATGGGCTCTGTGTGAGTCTATGGGCTCTGTGTGAGTCTATGGGCTCTGTGTGAGTCTACGGGTCTCTGTGTGAGTCTACTGGGTCTGCGTGTGAGTCTACAGGTCTGCGTGTGAGTCTACAGGTCTCTGTGTTAGTCTATGGGACTCTGGGTGAGTCTATAGGTCTCTGTGTGAGTCTATTGGTCTCTGTGTGAGTCTACGGGTCTCTGTGTGAGTCTACTGGGTCTGCGTGTGAGTCTACGGGTCTGCGTGTGAGTCTACAGGTCTCTGTGTTAGTCTATGGGTCTCTGGGTCAGTTTATAGGTCTCTGTGTGAGTCTATTGGTCTCTGTGTGAGTCTATGGGTCTCTGTGTGAGTCTATGGGCCTCTGTGTGAGTCTATGGGTCTCTGTGTGAGTCTATGGGCTCTGTGTGAGTCTACGGGTCTCTGTGTGAGTCTACGGGTCTCTGTGTGAGTCTGTGACTCTGTGTGAGTCTATGGGTCTCTGTGTGAGTCTACGGGTCTCTGTGTGAGTCTATGGGTCTCTATGTGAGTATATGGGTCTCTGTGTGTGTCTAACGGGTCTCTGTGTGAGTCTATGGGTCTCTGTGTGAGTCTATGGGTCTCTGTGTGAGTCTATGGGTCTCTGTGTGAGTCTATGGGTCTCTGTGTGTGTCTAACGGGTCTCTGTGCAAGTCTATGGGTCTCTGTGTGAGTGCGGTGGTGTTGTTGATGAACACGTTGCGTGTTTATGGAACCGTCCCTCTGAACTCCCATCATTCCCCCCCTCCCCCTCCCTCCCCTCTCTCTCCCACCCCCCCCCCCCCGCACATCCAGGCCAAAGTGGAGAAGATGCTGATAAGCGACTTCATCACGTACGTCTGCGTGTGTGTGTGTGTGCGTGTGTGTGTGCGTGCGTCTGCTTTGTGGCGTGCGTGCGTGCTAATGTGTAGGGGAACGGTAGTGTAGTGGTTAGCACGCCACGCTCCAAACCTGGCGACCGCTCACGGCCAACACCCGTGATGAGTATCTGAACTGGTCCTGGGACTCCCCTAGGTCGACTCAGCCTGAAATGAGTACCGGGTGCGGTGTGCAGCAAACATCGCCACCGGGGAGACAAAGGCGGTCGGGCGTGGTGCTGGCCACCCACCCCCTCGTGTGCCGTGCCGGCCTTCACAGGTGCTGCTGCTCGCTAACAGCATTTGCCCCAACAGTCTGTTACAGGCTACACGGGGGATCTTTGTCTTTGATGTTGGCATAGTAAGTGGCACAGTTGGTGGTCATCTTCAGTTGGTCAGCCCATGGCGCCTGCTTGGTCGGTCCCGTGATCTCCTGCCAGCGGGGGTGCGACGCTTCACGTGGCCTCAAAAGTGCACATAGTCTGGCACGAGCGTCGTGGTGACATCATCGCCACCTGGTGGTGTTGGTGAGGAGAGCGGTGGTGTAGCGGTTAGCGCTCCGAACCCCGGCGAGCCGAGTTCGAGTCCCGCTCACAGGCCAACACCGGTGACTACACGGTGGTTCTTTGTATTTGTCCGCGTGCCCGTACGTGTCTATCCACGTGTCTGTGCCTCCGTGTGCCCATGTGCCAATCCGTGTGTCTGCACGTGTCTGCGTGTCTGCACGTGTCTGCACGTGTGTCTGCACGTGTGTCCGTGCGCGTGTCCGTGCGCGTGTCCGTGCGCGTGTCCGTCTGCGCGTCACCCAGCATCTCGTACACGGAAGCCATCGCCACGCTCGCCGCCCACAGGAAATCCTTCCGCTTCCCCGTGGAGGTCAGGCCGTGACCCCGTGCGGTTCACTCACTCGCACGCTGCACACGCTGCACACGGGGGGACCTTTGTGTACCGCGTGCTGCTCGCTAACAGCACCGCCGCCGCCGCCGTCACCACCACCACCACCACCCCCCACCCCCCCTTCGTGCGCCATTTCCCGGCCTTCACAGCTCACCGACGGCACTTGCCGCAGCAGCCGGTGTGGCCTACACGGGGGGGGGGTGACCTTTGCCTGTGCTTCGCCTGGCCTGCGCGTGCGTGTGTGTGCGTGTGTGTGTGCGCGTGTGTGTGTGTGTGCGTGTGTGCGTGTACGTGTGTGTGTGCGTGTGTGTGTGTGTGTGCGTGTGTGTGTACGTGTGTGTGTGTACGTGTGTGCGTGCGTGCGTGTGTGTGTGCGTGTGTGTGTGTGTACGTGTGTGTGTGTACGTGTGTGTGCGTGTACGTGTGTGTGTACGTGTGTGTACGTGTGTACGTGTGCGTGCGCAGTGGGGCTGCGACCTGCACAAGGAGCACGAGCGCTTCCTGGTGGCGCACGTGGGCGGGGGCGGCGTGCCCCTCTTCGTCACCGCGTGGCCCCGCGACCTCAAGCCGTTCTACGCTCGCGACAACCAGGAGGGCGACGGCACCCGTCGCACGGTGACTCCTCGTCCGTCCGCTCATTCGCTCATCCGCCCGCTCGCTCGCCCGCTCAATCACTCACTCACCCGCTCAACTGTTTACATGGTCACTCAACTGCTCACTCGCTCGCTCATTCGACCGCTCGCTCGCCCATTCAACCGCTCACTCACCCGCTCAACCGCTCACTCACCCACTCAGCTGTTGACATGCCCACTCAACTGCTCACTCGCTCACTCATTCAACCGCCCGCTCGCCCACTCAACCACTCACTCACCCGCTCAACTGTTTACATGGCCACTCAAACTGCTCACTCGCTCGCCCGCTCAACCGCTCGCCCACTTAACCGCTTGCCCACTCTCGCAAGCACTCGTTCATTCACTCATTCACTCGTGCAATTACGCACCGACTCGCCCGCCCACCCACCCACTCGCCTAATCACTGCATCACTCGCCCAATCAACCACTCGCTCACCTCCATCAACTCGCGCTCGCACACCGCCCCCTGAACCTGCTGCCCTCCCCCACCCTCTTAACGACCCCCCTCCCCGTGCCCCTCCACCTCCCCGCTGACCCTCGAGCAGGTCGCCGCGGTTGACCTTTTGACCCCGGGGGTCGGGGAGCTGTGTGGGGGCAGCCTGAGGGAGGAGAGGCTGGACGTGCTGCAGGATCGTCTCGATTCGTACGACCCACACACACGCACACAGACAAAGGTCCCCCGTGTAGCCCACACAGGGCTGTCGGGGCAAGCGCTGTTAATGAGTAGCAGCGCCTGTGAAGGCCGGCACGGCACACGAGGGGGTGGGTGGCCAGCACCACGCCCGGCCGCCTTTGTCTCCCCAGTGGCGATGTTTACTACACACCGCACCAAGGTACTCATTGCAGGCCGAGTCGACTTGGCGGAGGCCCGGGACCGGTTCGGATAATCGTCACCGGGTGGTGATGGCGGCCGTGAGCGGGAGTCGAACTCGGGTCGCCGGGATCGTAGCGCAGCGCTGACCGCTGCGCCACCACTCCCCACAGCGCACGCTGCCTAACACGAAGACACACACATCCCGCCGACACTCACACCACACTCGCACGAAAAAAAAGACAAAGATCCCCCGCGTAGCCCACACAGGGTGTAGGGGCAAGTGCTGTCAGCGATTTTAACATGTAGTAGGCTTTAGATCGCCCAAGTATAAATGTTGTGTGGCGGTGGCACTGCGACGAAGTGGCGGTGACACCGACTCTGCTTCACCTCCCGTCAACACCCACAGACTTCACTCCTCTCGTGTCTCCTTCTTTCCCCCCCCACTCCCCGTGGTCTCCGGCTCTGTCCTCGTGTCTCTGCGCACCAAGACTGGGCCTCACGGACACCTATCAGTGGTGAGTGTTGGTGATGACTATTTCCCCCCACCTCGTCTCCCCCCCACCTCGTCTCCCCCCACCTCGTCTCAGCATAGCAGCTGTAGCTACCAGCAGTAGCTAGTAGCAGCAGTAGCATTGCAGCAGTAGCTAGCAGCAGCAGTTAGCAGTAGCTAGCAGCAACAGCTAGCAGCAGCTAGCAGCAGCAGCATAGCTACTGCTGTTGCTGCACTGCTGCTAGCTACTGCTGCTAGCTGCTTCTGCTAGCTGCTGCTGCTAGCTGCTGCTGCTGCTAGCTGCTGCTGCTGCTAGCTGCTGCTGCTAGCTGCTGCTGCTAGCTGCTGCTGCTAGCTGCTGCTGCTAGCTGCTGCTAGCTGCTGCTGCTAGCTGCTGCTGCTAGCTGCTGCTAGCTGCTGCTGCTAGCTGCTGCTGCTAGCTACTGATGCTGCCTGCTGCTGCTAGCTGCTGCTGCTAACTACTGCTGCTGCTAGCTACTGCTGCTGCTGCTAGCTGCTGCTGCTAGCTACTGCTGCTGCTACGCTGCTGCTAGCTGCTGCTACGATGATGACGACGATGATGACGATGATTACGACAATGATTACGATGACGATGATTACGACGACGATGATTACGATGACGACGACGATTACGACGACAATGACGACGATTACGACGACGATGACGAGGAGGTGTCTGCGCGTGGACCCGTGCCAGGTACCTGGATCTCCGCCGGTTCGGCTCCACGCCGCACGGCGGTTTCGGGATGGGGTTCGAGCGGTACCTGCAATGCATCCTGGGACTCGACAACATCCGCGACGCCATCCCCTTCCCCCGCTGGGCCCACTCCTGCGACCTTTGACCCGAATGTAATATAATGAGGTTATCACTTTGGGGTGAGATCGCGTAAATAAATGTCGAATTGGCCACGTTCTGTTCACGTGACAACCCCTCGCTAGCTGGCTGTGTCGGGTGGCGGCGGGTTTTAACGACACAACATTTAGATATTTACGCCATCTATCCCCAAAAAAAAAAAATCTCTCATGGATGATATTGGCCGCGAAAGCCCTACTACTTGTTTAACCGAATACAAGAGTGATATTATTACTCCCAATTATTATTTTGTTGTTATTCGGGGAGCGGGGCGCACGAGGGGGGGAAGGGTGGCGGTTCATACCACGTCAAGATCTTCTTGATCCGGTCGCATTTTGTGGCGGAAGATCCTCCCCACCAACCAATGCAGCCGGTGACCCTCCGCTGTTGGGACTCGTGGCCACAGTCGCAGGTGGGAGGGGGGGCGTGGGGCCACATCGCTTTTCGGAAGCGATTTGGGCCGCAGACGACAGCTCACACCGAGGTGGCTTGCCACGTGGATATTTATAGCAGGCGGGCCGAATTTTACAGCATCTGAACGCGTGGTGACGTCGACTCTAGACGTGGAGGGGTAAAAAAAATCAGAGGGGGCCGGAGAAAAATCCACGCGAACGACGGGGAGAGAGAGAGAGAGACACCGCAAACTACAAATATACAGCAGCAGCAGCAGGCGTCAGGGTCGGGATCGAACCCACGACGTCCTGCGTACCGGGCGAGGGAGACGACGTCTTCCTCGCCACCGCACGACGCGCGGTTCAAATGGCGAAGCAACTCTTGAACCCCGACGCACGACGAGCGGATGAATCGCACAGCACTGCACCACACCGCACAGCACCACACCACACCACACCACACCACACCGCACCACACCACACCGCACCCCACACCACACCGCACCCCACACCACACCGCACCACACCGCACCGCACACCGCGTCCCGCACCGCGGCGGGCAAGTTGCTGTGGGGACGATGCCAGGAGCCACGTGGACTGAATCATCGCCCGGCAGCCGTGCTCATGGCGGTTATGGGTAATTGTGTTGGTGCGTTGCGCTGTACCTCGAGTGGCCAACACAGATTACTGAGACAAGCGACGCTGACGTTTGTGTAATTTATTATTGAGACAAATCACAAAAATGTGGACAGCCCGCGCGTCATTGTATGCCAGAAGCCCCAGCGGATAAGTGGGTGGGTGGGTGAGTGACTGATTGGGTGGGTGATTGAGTGAGTGGGTGGATGAGTGGGGAGTGGGTGGATGAGTGGGGAGTGGGTGGATGAGTGGGGAGCGGGTGGATGAGTGGGGAGTGGGTGGATGAGTGGGGAGTGGGTGGATGAGTGGGGAGTGGGTGGGTGGGGGAGTGGGTGGGGAGTGGGTGGGGAGTGGTTCGGGGGAGTGGGGGAGTGGGTGGGGGAGTGGTGGGGAGTGGGTGGGGGGAGTGGTGGGGAGTGGGTGGGGGGAGTGGGGGGGTGGGTGGATGAGTGAGTGTGGGTGCGTGGGTGGATGAGCGAGTGAGTGAGTGTGGGTGGGTGAGCGGGCGGATGGATAAACATTCCAACGGTACCAACCCACGACGCCAACGTTCGGCACGTTCACTACGTCGGCGGCAGCAGCAAGAGAAGAGCGACAGGGAGGCGGCGAGGGCCTGCGGGCGGCCGGTCACCGCACGGCCGCGACGAGCATGGCCCTGAGCCGCGCCGTGTCGCACCGGACCATGATGCGCGCCTTGACCAGCGGCGGGTCCTGCATCATGCCCAGCCAGTCCACCACCATCTGGCCGCGCGTCAGAGCGCCGTGCAGCTCCACGCGCACCTGAGCACGTGGAGCACGTGGAGCGTCAACGACGACGACAAGGGGGGGATGGGGGGAGGAGGGTGGCCAGCACCACTCCCCCGGCCGACTCCCCAGTGGCGATGTTTTTGCATGCCGTACCAAGTGCTCATTCGAGGCCGGTCAAAGTATTCCTCGCGCGCAAATCGCGAAACGCGCGGTGCTGTTGTGGAGGGCCTTTAACCCGCGCTGTACAAAGGCAGAGAGAGATTTCTCTCTGGGCCTGTGAGGGTTCAAATATCAACACTGATGGGGAGGGGGGCATAACCCCCCCGTGCCCCTTCCCTCCACCCCCCCAGTGCCCTCACCCCCCCCCCCCCCCCCCCCCCCCCCCCCGGTGCCCCACTCACCGAGTGCTCTGCCCACTGGGTGACGAAGTCCGGGTCCAAGGCAGCGGCCACTGCGTAGGCATCGCACGGCACGAAGCCCGGGCCGACAAACGGCTCCTGGTGTCCACAGAGACAGGCATGTTGTTTGTATGTTGTATGTGGCAGAGCCGGATGAAGCTCGTGCGGGGCCTGCAGCATATGTTATGAAGGTGCACTAAATAAAAAAAAAACACGTAAATATTAAAACACCATTTTTTTACTTGCGTAGTAAAGTAATTGTATTATTTTTCCTTTGCTATACAGCCGGATAATACGACAAATCGCTAACCTTAAACACCCGGTCGTTCGTAAAAGCCGTAGGCGGTATAGTACTATAGTAATAGAGCAAGTGCAGACTCACTGAACCGGAATTGATAGCTTGAAAGCGTTTAGCGCGGGGCACTTGAAAGTGCGGGGCCCGTAGCTACTACACATGTAGTAGTAGCTACTACATGTGTAGTAGTAGCTACTACTACATATGTAGTAGCTACTACTACACGTGTATGTAGTGTAGTAGTAGCTACTATACATGTAGTAGCTACTATACGTGTAGTAGTAGCTGCTACACGTGTAGTAGCTACTACTATACATGTAGTAGCTACTACATGTGTATTAGTAGCTACTACTACATATGTAGTAGCTGCTACTATACATGTAGTAGCTACTACATGTATAGTAGTAGCTACTACATGTATAGTAGTAGCTACTACATGTATAGTAGTAGCTACTACTACATGTATAGTAGTAGCTACTACTACACGTGTAGTAGCTACTACACGTGTAGTAGCTACTACTACACTACATACACGTGTAGTAGCTACTACATATGTAGTAGTAGCTACTACATGCATAGCTACTACTACACACGTGTAGTAGCTACTACACATGTATAGTAGCTACTACACATGTATAGTAGCTACTATACATGTGTAGTAGCTACTATACATGTATAGTAGCTACTATGCACGTGTAGTAGCTACTTTTGCTACTGGTATGTTAGGCATGTTGTATGTATGTTGTATGCATGTATGTTTATTTTGAAGCCGTACGTAGCCATCCGTGACAATCGGAGGTGCGCGGGGGAAGGACAACAAACGAGACACAAAAACGGCGCTCTAAAGAAGTGAGTTTTCGAACGAGATTATTGAGATGTGCAGAGCTCCCAGTGGCTTCCTCGTCGTGATGGGAGACCGAGGGGGAGATGATGGGAAGTGAGGAGGTAGGGAGATGAGTGGAGAGGGTGAGTGAGAGGGTGCTTGCTGACAGGTGGTGAGTGAGAGGATGGTAAGTGAAAGGTTGGTGAGTGAGTGGGGAGGGTGGTGAGTGAGTGGGGAGGGTGGTGAGTGAGTGGGGGGGGTATGGTGAGTGAGTGGGAGGGTGGTGAGTGAGTGGGAGGGTGGTGAGTGAGTGGGGAGGGTGGTGAGTGAGTGGGGAGGGTGGTGAGTGAGTGGGAGGCTGGTGAGTGAGTGGGGAGGGTGGTGAGTGAGTGGGGAGGGTGGTGAGTGAGTGGGGGGGTATGGTGAGTGAGTGGGAGGGTGGTGAGTGAGTGGGAGGGTGGTGAGTGAGTGGGAGGGTGGTGAGTGAGTGGGGAGGGTGGTGAGTGAGTGGGGGGGGGGGGGGTGGTGAGTGAGTAGGGGGGTGGTGAGTGGGGTGGGGAGGGTGGTGAGTGAGTGGGAGGGTGGTGAGTGAGTGGGGGGGGGGGGTGGTGAGTGGGGTGGGGAGGGTGGTGAGTGAGTGGGAGGGTGGTGAGTGAGTGGGAGGGTGGTGAGTGAGTGGGAGGGTGGTGAGTGAGTGGGGGGGTGGTGAGTGGGGTGGGGAGGGTGGTGAGTGAGTGGGGAGGGTGGTGAGTGAGTGGGGGGGGTATGGTGAGTGAGTGGGAGGGTGGTGAGTGAGTGGGAGGGTGGTGAGTGAGTGGGGAGGGTGGTGAGTGAGTGGGGAGGGTGGTGAGTGAGTGGGAGGCTGGTGAGTGAGTGGGGAGGGTGGTGAGTGAGTGGGGAGGGTGGTGAGTGAGTGGGGGGGTATGGTGAGTGAGTGGGAGGGTGGTGAGTGAGTGGGAGGGTGGTGAGTGAGTGGGAGGGTGGTGAGTGAGTGGGGAGGGTGGTGAGTGAGTGGGGAGGGTGGTGAGTGAGTGGGGGGGTGGTGAGTGAGTGGGAGGGTGGTGAGTGAGTGGGGGGGTGGTGAGTGGGAGGGTGGTGAGTGAGTGGGGGGGGGGGGGGTGGTGAGTGAGTAGGGGGGTGGTGAGTGGGGTGGGGAGGGTGGTGAGTGAGTGGGAGGGTGGTGAGTGAGTGGGGGGGGGGGGGGGTGGGGTGTGGGGTGGGGTGGGTGGTGAGTGAGTGGGAGGGTGGTGAGTGAGTGGGAGGGTGGTGAGTGAGTGGGAGGGTGGTGAGTGAGTGGGGGGGTGGTGAGTGGGGTGGGGAGGGTGGTGAGTGAGTGGAAGTGTGGTGAGTGAGTGGGGAGGGTGGTGAGTGAGTGGGGGGTATGGTGAGTAAGTGGGAGGGTGGTGAGTGAGTGGGGGGGTGGTGAGTGAGTGGGGGGGTGGTGAGTGAGTGGGGGGGTGGTGAGTGAGTGGGAGGGTGGTGAGTGAGTGGGAGGGTGGTGAGTGAGTGGGGGGGTGGTGAGTGGGGTGGGGAGGGTGGTGAGTGAGTGGAAGTGTGGTGAGTGAGTGGGGGGTGGTGAGTGGGAGGGTGGTGAGTGAGTGGGAGGGTGGTGAGTGAGTGGGGGGTGGTGAGTGAGTGGGGGGGTGGTGAGTGAGTGGGAGGGTGGTGAGTGAGTGGGAGGGTGGTGAGTGAGTGGGGGGTATGGTGAGTGAGTGGGAGGGTGGTGAGTGAGTGGGGGGGGTGGTGAGTGAGTGGGGGGGTGGTGAGTGAGTGGGGGGGTGGTGAGTGAGTGGGGGGGTGGTGAGTGAGTGGGGGGGTGGTGAGTGAGTGGGGGGGTGGTGAGTGAGTGGGAGGGTGGTGAGTGAGTGGGAGGGTGGTGAGTGAGTGGGAGGGTGGTGAGTGAGTGGGGAGGGTGGTGAGTGAGTGGGAGGGTGGTGAGTGAGTGGGGAGGGTGGTGAGTGAGGGGGAGGGTGGTGAGTGAGTGGGGGGGGTATGGTGAGTGAGTGGGGGGGGTGGTGAGTGAGTAGGGGGGTGGTGAGTGATACCACAAATCCGCGATTGGACTTCCGAGCAAAGGCGGCGCTCTTCGCTGAGATGCGCTTCACGAAGCGCCCCCGCTCCGTGTCGGCGGCGGTCCACTCCTCGTAGAACTCCTGCAGCAGCAGCAACACGCACGGGTGGGTGAGCGGCGGGGTAGGTGAGTGGGGGGGGGTAGGTGAGTGGGGGGGGGGTAGGTGAGTGGGGGGGGTAGGTGAGATGCGCTCCGTATTGGTGGCCGGCCACGCATCGTAGAACTGCAGCAGCAGTAACACGGGTGGGTGGGTGGGTGTTGGTGGGGGGGTAGCTGAGTGGGTAGATGAGCGTGTGAGTGGGTAGGTGCGCCCGTGAGTGGGTAGGTGAGCGTGTGAGTGAGTGGGTGGGTAGTTGAGCGAGTGAGTGGGTAGGTGAGCGTGTGAGTGGGTTGATGAGCGTGTGAGTGGGTAGGTGAGCGTGTGAGTGCGTGGGTGAGCGTGTGAGTGAGCGGGTAGGTGAGCGTGTGAGTGGGTGGGTAGGTGAGTGAGGGGGTAGGTGAGCGTGTGAGTGGGTAAATGAGCGTGAGTGGATAGGTAAGCGTGTGAGTGGGTAGATGAGCATGGGAGTGGGCAGGTGAGCGTTTAAGTGAGTCGGTAAGTGAATGTGTGAGTGAGCATGCCAATGGGTGGATAGGTGAGCGTGTGAGTGAGTGGGTAGGTGAGTCTCTGTGCTACAAACCCAGGGAATGGCGTTGCGCACGGTAAACTCCCAGCTCGCAATGTGCAGCGGGCAGCTGCAGGTCTCCAGCACCACGTAGGCAGCCTCAGGGTCCGCAACAAAGTTAAACTCCCCGGACATGGTGCAGTTCCCATGCGCTGCTTGCACCACAAAGGCAAAGATCCCCCGTGTAGCCTTAACAGGCTGTTGGGGCAAGTGCTGTCAACGGGTAGCAAACAGCGCCTATGCAGGCCGGCACGGCACACAAACCAATGGTTTCAAACGTGCCTGGCTACTGATGAGAAACTGAATTTAGCACGTTGGCTTTCGCGACCAATACCATTCTTAATACAGTGGTACCACGGTATACGTCCAATTCTGTACACGTCGTGTTTTAACGGGAAAAAAATGTCTTGGGACACGACGTCTTGCTTGTGATAGGACGCGCTGCTCGCTAGAACTCGTCTGGGTCGGGATGAGTCGCCACGTGCCCGCGTAGACCCCGTTCACGACTGAGACAAAGCGCCGCTCCTCAGTCTGCCCGTAGATCTCGTTCAGTGCACGAACCTTGCTGGATTTTTTATTTCAATTTATTTTAATTTATTTAGTGTGTGTGTGTGCATTTTAGTAATAAGTAGTGTCTAAGTTATTTAATACAACCCCACTAATGTATAATATGCCACGTAAAATATCATCTCCTATACCCTGGAACGGATTATTTCCTTTCTCTTTATTTCTTATGGGAAAAAACTCGTCTGGGATTCGTCATTTCCGGTATAAGGCCTCTTACCTTGTAGAACTAATTAACGACGTATACCGAGGTACCACTGTACAGGTTTTGTTGGGTTAGATCGCGTAAATTTATAAATGTGTCGTTAAACCTGCCACCACCCGACACAGCCAACTAGTAAGGTTTGTCACGTAAATAGAACGTGGCTAATTCGTTACTAGTACAGCGCTAGTGTATAGTGTAGTGCGTAGTGTAGTATACTCGTACAGCAGACCGGTGTGTTGGAGAGCCAAGCTACAACATTTACAATCCGAGTACGACGTTTCGCCAGTAATTGCAACTAGCTTCATCAGGCGACAGCCACATTTGTGGAGAAGTCCACCTGTTGCGTTCCTTAAATAGCGGCGTAGTAGATGTGATGACGTCACTTGTGCGTTCTTCTTGCGCGAAGTGGGGGGGGGATTAATCTATATATATAAAAGATACATTTGTGAATGTGTGTCTGTTCGAAATGTTTAGCATACTTCCCAACATGCAACAAACTTGAAATTTGGCATGTGGGTAGCTTCTAGACTGTACACAATGCAAAAAGTATAAAAATAGACTTTTTATTTTGGGGGGGGGGGTGGGGGGGCGCAATAATGGCTGTGTCGGGTGGTGGCGGTTCAAGCGAGCCCGACTCCGCTGATGAGACTCTGAAGTTCTGCTCGTGTTAAACCAATGGTTTCAAACTCACCTGACTACTGATAAGACACTCAATGTTGCGGATTTTGCCCGTGGTGAACCAATCGTTCAAGCGAGCCCGACTCCGCTGATGAGACACTGAAGTTCTGCTCGTGTTAAACCAATGGTTTCAAACTCACCTGACTACTGATAAGACACTCAATGTTGCGGATTTTGCCCGTGGTGAACCAATCGTTCAAGCGAGCCCGACTCCGCTGATGAGACACTGAAGTTCTGCTCGTGTTAAACCAATGGTTTCAAACTCACCTGACTACTGATAAGACACTCAATGTTGCGGATTTTGCCCGTGTTGAACCAATCCTTCAAGCGAGCCCGACTCTGCTGATGAGACACCGAATGTGTAAACGGGCACGGCGAGCACGCACCCTCCATGGTGCCGCCCATGATGAAGAGCTCCTTGAGGCGCGAGGTGAAGTCGGGGTCCATGCGCGTCGCAAGCGCCACGTTGGTCAGGGGCCCCACGGCCACGAGCGTGATCTGCAGGCGGCACAGAGCAGACTCACGACCGAGGCCGAGAGACCCGAGACCTCGGGTGGGGAGTCGAGGCCGAGACCTAGGCCAGAGCCTAGACCTAGACCGAGACATAGCCCGAAGCCTAGGCCGAGACCTAGGGTTTGAGCCTAGGCTAAGGCCTAGGCCGAGTCCTAGGGTCGGAGCCTAGGCCGAGACCTAGGGTTTGAGCCTAGGCCGAGACCTAGCCCGGAGCCTAGGCCGAGATCTAGGATCAAAGCCTAGGCCGAGACCTACACCGGAGCCTAGGCCGAGACCTAGGGTTTGAGCCTAGGCCGAGACCTAGCCCGGAGCCTAAGCCGAGACCTAGGATCGAAGCCTAGGCCAAAACGTCGACTATTATATATTTTTATTGACAATTGTATGTGTGTAACATGATGCAAATCAATGGACCTGTCCCGGGTTCTCCTTGGCCAGACGGACGAGCGCATTGACCGCGTGCTCCTCCTGCTTCTTCACCGCCACGGGGCTCGGGTCGGGGGGGTCCGCGGAGTCCCCCAGACCGTCGTTGCCGTGGAACCGGGTCGCGTGCATCGGCTTGGCCAGCAGCGGCGCGGAGGCCCCTAGGAACACGGGGACCTGCCGGGGACACGCGGGATTAGCTACGTACGGTGTGAATGAAGTTCAACGTACATCCATCATCACACGGGTGTCTCTCTCTCTGACATACTCCCCCACTTCATTAGACCTCCTTTGCCAGTACCAAAATGGATTCATGTCTGCGTTAACCACAATACCTGCAGTCAAAATGCAAACAAAAAACATACTATGATAATATATAATGCATTGTCCTTGCAACTGATTGGTCCACACCAAGGGACGGCTTTCTTTTGAGCTTCGACCCAATTGGTGCTCGACCAGAGGACACCGTCCCTTGGTGTGGACCAATCAGTTTCAAGGACAATGCATATATTACTCATTGGTTTTTTTCGGTAAAGTCACGTATGTAGAAATACAATAAAATTATATTAAAACAAAAAACAATCACGACGTTTCGATCACAACGCAAGCGATCTTCATCAGGTGTCAAGAACAAATCACGGAGGTGAATACAACAAAAATATGAGAGACGAGAATTCAACAAACCTGAAAAAACATTATGTGAAGCACATCCAGTCAGGCCAACAACACAGACACTTCCTGGCGGACCACGAATTTCAGAAGAGTGTTAAATTTCGTGTTCAACCTTTGGATCGCACATACCAGCATAGATGGAATGAAAAATACGAGGTACACTGTCAGTAGACATAAATCCTTGTAAAAAGGTTTCAGTTTTGTTGCCAGAAAAAATGGGAAAACCCTATTATACTCCCCCACTGTCTGTGTCTCTCTTTCCCTTTCCCCGTGTCTACGCCCTTGGCTCTCAAGTCTCAACTCGTCTCTCTCTCTCCCCGTCTCTCTCCCATTCCTCTCGTCTCTCAGCCCGTGCCTCCCTATCGCTCTCCCCGTGTCTACTCCCTTGGTTCTCAACCTCTTTCTCTCCTCGTGTCTCTCTCCCTACCCCGAAGGATCATGGGGTGAGGGACATGGTGCTGACCACACACCCCACCCCCCTTCGTGTGCCGTGCCGGCCTTGATATGCGCTGCTACTCACAGAATTTATCCAAGTCACTATATATTTTAGTGACTTGCTGACTTTTATTATCAATGTTGCACTCCTATCGTTTTTTTTGTACTGTTTGTAGTTGCAACTTCCTCCTCCTCCAGTCTAAATCAAGATTCTGATTTGGATACGGGGGATCTTTGAACTAAACTTAAATTAAACTTTGTATTGAACCAGGCAGGACCCCCCGAGCTGTGTAGCTCTTGTTCAGAAGCGACTTGGCCGCAAATGGAAGTGGCTTCTCATCGTCACGTGGACATTTAGAGCGGCAGCCAAATGCACTAAAGGCGTGATGTTCATTCTAAATGTGGAGGGAAAAACCAGAGGACCCGGAGCAAAATCCACTCGACCAAAGAGAGAGACACGCAAACTCGAAATATACAGCAGCAGCAGGCGTCAGGGTCGGGATCGAACCCACGACCTCCTGTATACCAGGCGAGGTAGTTAACATCTCACCACAGAGAGAGAGAGACACGCAAACTCCAAATATACAGCAGCAGGCGTCAGGGTCGGGACCGAACCCACGACCTCCTGTAGACCAGGCGAGGTAGTTAACATCTCACCACGGGGAGAGAGAGACACGCAAATATACAGCAGGCGTCAGGGTCGGGATCGAACCAATGACCCCCTGCAGACCAGGCGAGGTAGTTAACATCTCACCACAGAGAGAGAGATACGCAAACTCCAAATATACAGCAGCAGGCGTCAGGGTCGGGACTAAACCCACGACCTCCTGTAGACCAGGCGAGGTAGTTAACATCTCACCACGGGGAGAGAGAGACACGCAAATATACAGCAGGCGTCAGGGTCGGGATCGAACCCACGACCTCCTGTATACCAGGCGAGGTAGTTAACATCTCACCACAGAGAGAGAGACACGCAATTATACAGCAGCAGGCATCAGGGTCGTGATTGAACCCACGACCTCCTGTAGACCAGGCGAGGTAGTTAACATCTCCTAGCCACCATGTCCCCCCCCCCTTTGTCTTTGGGGTGAGTGGTGCGGGTGAGGACCCCCAACCCCACCCCCTCCTCACCCGCGCGCTCGCTCCGCACGCGCGCAGCACGCGCGCCACGTTGTCCGCCACCTGGCGCACGTGCGTGTTGCCGTTGCAGCACGTGACGGCGAGCACGCGCGCGCGCGCGGCGTCTCCCAGGGCGATCATGAGCGCGTGGGCGTCGTCCACGCCGCAGTCAACGTCCAGCACCAGCAGCTTCTGAGGCACGGCACCAGCTGGGGGCGGGGCTGAGGGGGGGAGCAGGTGGGGGGAAGGGAAGGGGGGGGGGGGAGGTGGAGGGGTCAAGGGGGGGGGGAGGTGGGGGGGAGATGGGGAGAGTCAAGGGGGGGAGATGGGGGGGAGGGAGTCAAGGGGGGGGGGTTGGGGGGTCAAGGGGGGGGAGATGGGGGGGAGGGAGTCAAGGGGGGTGAGATGGGGGGGTCAAGGGGGGGAGATGGGGGGATGGGGGGGGGAGGGAGTCAAGGGGGGGGAGATGGGGGGGGTCAAGGGGGGGAGAGATGGAGGAGTCAAGGGGAGGAGATGGGGGGATCGGGGGGGGGGAGGGAGTCAAGGGGGGGGGAGATGGGGGGGGTCAAGGGGGGGAGAGATGGAGGAGTCAAGGGGGGAGATGGGGGGATCGGGGGGGGGGGGAGGGAGTCAAGGGGAGTGAGATGGGGGGGGTCAAGGGGGGAGAGATGGAGGAGTCAAGGGGGGGAGATGGGGGGATCGGGGGGGGGGAGGGAGTCAAGGGGGGGGGAGATGGGGGGGGTCAAGGGGGGGAGAGATGGAGGAGTCAAGGGGGGGAGATGGGGGGATCGGGGGGGGGAGTCAAGGGGGGGGGAGATGGGGGGGGTCAAGGGGGGGAGAGATGGAGGAGTCAAGGGGAGGAGATGGGGGATCAGGGGGGGTCAAGGAGGGGGAGATGGGATGGGAGGTGGGGGGGGGGTCAAGGGGGGGAGAGATGGAGGGGTCAAGGGGGGGTGGGGGGGGTCAAGGGGTTGGGATATGGGGGGGGGGTCAAGGGGGGGGGAGGTGGGGGAGGTCAGAATCAGAATAAGGGCGCGTTGGGATGGTGTATAACAGGTAGCCGGAAGGCCGCCGCTGTAAGCGCACGTGTTGTGCCAGGGTGCTTTAAAAAAACCCAAATGTGAACACTTCCAAGAATTTGCAACAATACCGCAAGAAATGTGACTCGGGGCTCTGGACACCACTTGGAGAGGATTCCAGGCCGCGCGTTCAATACGACGTTGAACAAGTGAGAGACTTATTCTTAGCTCTTTCGGTAAAGTCACGTTGAAGGGAAACAATAAAATAATAAAATATATATAAAACAATAAAAATTCTCACGACGTTTCGACCATAACACAAACGGTCGTCATCAGGTGTGTCGGTCCGCATTTATTTAATTGGTTTTGAACGGTGTACTTTTTTATTTATTTAAAAAAAACGCCAGCGCCACGCGCAGCGATTTGGCAGTTTATTTAGGACTAGTCCATCTATGTTCTGAAAAGAGGAGGGGGGAGACGAAAAATTTAATGTATGCTGTCTGAAAGCCACTGTAAGCGTGAACAATCAATTAAGATCTGAAATGGTTTATAAAATACTTCCAATGATTGCTAAGCCAGAATCCATCTTCTAGGTTGAAATTGATGACGACCGTTTGTGTTATGGTCGAAACGTCGTGAGAATTTTTATTGTTTTATATATTATTGTTTTATTGTTTCCCTTCAACGTGACTTTACCGAAAGAGCTAAGAATATGAATTACTGCAGTCACGAAAGCTTTAAATCAAAATTTAAGTGGGAGACTCTTTGACTTTCCGAAGCTATTAACGTGACGTTATTTGTTATCGTGTTTCAGTGTATCAGGGGCCGTCCGTAAATGACGTCACACACCTAGGGTGGGGGGAGGGGGGGTCAGACATTTGTGACGATGTGTGACGACGGGGGGAGGGGGGGGTTTGAGAAATGTGACGTCACATCAAAATGCCCAACTTTAAATAAACAACACGTTCTACTGTGTGAAATAGAATTGTTATAACAACACGAATTTGGATTAATTTGCATTATTAACTTTTTTATTATTTAAAATCATTAAGGCTACCTTTTATTTATGGTTTTGATTATATTACAATACTCATTGGGTCTTTCGGTAAAGTCACGTGGGTAGAAAAATAACAGATGACGACGTTTCAATCACAACACGAGTAACCGTCATCAGGTGGGACAACCACAGCAAGAAAAAAAATAACACGTAGGCTTTCGCGACCAATATTATTCATAAAGGTTTTTGGGTTAGATCGCGTTTATTTATAAATGTGTCGTAACCCTCCACCACCCGACACGGCCAATCAGCAAAGAAAAGTGTCTTTTGTCAACGTGACACTTTTCTTTGCTGATTGGCCGTGTCGGGTGGTGGAGGGTTACGACACATTTATAAATAAACGCGATCTAACCCAAAAACCTTTATTATGAAGGAAAAAAATGCTGAAGTATGCGAGAGATCTGCCGTGGCACGAGGTTTTTTCACACCTGATGATGACTGTTTGTGTTACAGTCGAAACGTCGTGAGAATTTTATTGTTTTAGATATATTTTTTATTATTTTATTGTTTCCCTTCAACGTGACTTTACCGAAAGAACCAAGAATACGTTACACAGGGTGTTTGAAAATAGATGGACCCGATTTGAAATCGCGAAATCTCTGCAATCACGAACCGCCCATGAATGAAACTATTACCACTTGAAAGGGCGGGGCACAGAGAGGGCGGGGCATAGAGAGGGCGGGGCATAGATGGGGCGGGGCACAGAGAGGGCGGGGCATATATAGGGCAGGGGCACAGAGAGGGCGGGGCTTAGATAGGGCGGGGCTTAGAGTTTCAAATGATTGCCTGTCCCAGCGCACAAACAGCCCCCTAGCCTCACGTCATTCACTAGACAACGTTGCCTCAACGTTGGATAGGTCGCACGGGACCGTAAGACTTGACATCACCACACCCCCTGCGACTTGTTCTCGTGGTTGATACGTCGAAGACCCGTGGTGTTTTTGTGCCACAATACAGCGACTCATCTGGATGACCTCAAAAATCAGAATCACGGCAGCGGTGGCTTCAGCGGAAGAGAAGACTTCACTTTGAGACGAATTCAACTATCGTCTCGATTGTAGTCCGTACAGCAAGTGGAGGGCACGTAGAGCATTTATAAAATGGTTAGTAAAACTTGATAACTCATTAAACCGTTTGTAACTGTTTTGTGCGTAATTGTAACATGTTGCCATCGTGAAATATACTGCTTTGAAATTGGGTCCATTTTTTGAGAAACACCCTGTATAAGCCTCGGTAGTAGTGGGGGGGAGGAGGTGGGGGGGCAGAAAGTGGACCCCTCCTTCTCTCCCCCCCCACTGCTGCCAATCTCAGATCGCTCCAAGTGCTGCTGCGGGGTCAACTTCCTGGCCCGCCCCCACTCTCCCCCCACTGCTCACACGTGCGAGTGTGTGTGAGTGAGAGAGTGTGAGTGAGAGTGAGTGAGAGTGAGTGTGAGAGTGAGTGTGAGTGAGTGTGAGAGTGAGTGAGTGTGAGTGCGAGTGAGTGAGTGCGAGTGAGTGTGAGTGAGTGAGTGTGAGTGAGTGTGAGAGTGAGTGAGTGTGAGTGAGTGTGAGTGAGTGTGAGAGAGTGTGTGAGTGAGTGTGAGAGAGTGTGAGAGTGAGAGAGTGAATGAGAGTGAGTGAGTGCGAGTGAGTGTGAGAGCTCACACGCAGTGAGTGACAGCGTTTACAGGAGTGAGTGAGTGCGAGTGAGTGAGTGTGAGAGTGAGTGCTCACACGTGTGAGTGAGAGAGTGAGTGAGTGTGAGTGAGAGTGAGTGCGAGTGAGTGAGAGAGCTCACACGCAGTGAGTGACAGCGCTCACAGGAGTGAGTGAGTGAGAGTGAGTGAGTGTGAGAGTGAGTGTGAGTGCTCACACGTGTGAGTGAGAGAGTGAGTGTGAGTGAGTGTGAGTGAGTGAGAGTGAGTGCGAGTGAGTGAGAGCGTGAATGAGAGTGAGTGAGTGCGAGTGAGTGAGAGAGCTCACACGCAGTGAGTGACAGCGCTCACAGGAGTGAGTGAGTGAGAGTGAGTGAGTGTGAGTGAGAGAGTGAGTGTGAGTGCTCACACGTGTGAGTGAGAGTGAGTGAGTGCGAGTGAGTGAGTGAGTGTGAGAGTGAGTGAGTGCGAGTGAGTGTGAGTGCCCACACGCAGTGAGTGACAGCGCTCACAGGAGTGAGTAAGTGCGAGTGAGTGAGAGATGAATGTGTGAGAGCTCACACGTGTGAGTGAGAGAGTGAGTGAGTGTGAGTGCTCACACGTGTGAGTGAGAGAGTGAGTGTGAGTGCTCACACGTGCGAGTGAGAGTGAGTGTGAGTGCTCACACGTGTGAGTGAGAGAGTGAGTGAGTGTGAGTGCTCACACGTGTGAGTGAGAGAGTGAGTGTGAGTGAGTGTGAGTGCTCACACGTGCGAGTGAGTGAGTGCTCACACGTGCGAGTGAGAGAGTGAGTGAGTGTGAGTGCTCACACGTGTGAGTGAGAGAGTGAGTGAGTGCTCACACGTGCGAGTGAGAGAGTGAGTGAGTGTGAGTGCTCACACGTGTGAGTGAGAGAGTGAGTGAGTGCTCACACGTGTGAGTGAGAGGGTGAGTGAGTGTGAGTGCTCACACGTGCGAGTGAGAGAGTGAGTGAGTGTGAGTGCTCACACGTGTGAGTGAGAGAGTGAGTGTGAGTGAGTGCTCACACGTGCGAGTGAGAGAGTGAGTGAGTGTGAGTGCTCACACGTGTGAGTGAGAGAGTGAGTGAGTGCTCACACGTGCGAGTGAGAGAGTGAGAGAGTGAGTGAGTGCTCACACGTGCGAGTGAGTGAGTGCTCACACGTGCGAGTGAACGCCTCCTCACCGCTCGCCATAGCTGCTCCGAGTGAAGCCCTCCACCAGTGGGACAGCTGGCGAAGAATCCCGCCCCGCCCCCACCTCTCATCGCCCCGCCCCCACTTATCATCGCCCCTCCCCCACTTTCCTTCGTCCCGCACACCCCCCGCCCCGCCCACACCGTCGCCCCGCCCACATCCCCCCGCCCTGCCCACACACCCCCCGCCCCGACCTCGCCCCGCCCACCCCCCTCTGAGAGTCACGTGGAGTCGATCCCGGGAGAATCGATTCTATTGCTGGAGTCGAATGCCAAACCCCGAATCGAGAATCACACACTTTCATTGTCAAACACTATTGTCAAACACTTTCATTGTTACACTTTCATTGTTACATTTTTATTGTCAAACACTTTTATTGTTACACTTTCATTGATACACTTTTATTCTTACACAGTTTTATTCTTACACACTTATTCTTACATACTTTTATTCTTACACGCTTTAATTGTTACACCACTGTTATTTTACGTTCCTCATTGTCTTGTTTATATTATTTATAATCTTTGACGCTTCAATATCTCTGGATCTATAAAGTTTAACGGGCTGAAATGTTGTGCACACGCAAACTCACCGCTCTCCCAAGATTCAAGACGTCATTTTAAGAACCGATCCTGGGCCTCATTTTTCTCACTTAATTATTATTATTTGGTCATTCCAAACGAACACATTCACACGGAATTGCATTCATGCAAGCCACCCACGTTTATTCAGCGTATCACAATTTGATTAATTCCGGGGCCAAAATAATGGATGTTCTCTACTCTGGGGTTTGGTTTGGTGTTATGGCTCTAGGATTTGGTGGTACATGTTGTTTATGTCGTTTATTGTGAAAATTCGGTCACAGTTCCTATGATCACTGTTGCATTGCTTTTATGGCTTTATTTTGGTGATTTCGAAAACGTTTGGCCATGTTTGTTTGTTGTAGTACGAAGTTAGACTGATGGCCTTAATCTAAGTTGTCTTGTGGTTGTTGTTGTTTGACTTGCATCCCACTGGGATTTTTGCACACAGCATTGGTGCACGGTGCTTTTTCTGGAAGATTTTGATGTTTTTTCCTAGATTTTCTGTTTGCACAGTCACATAGTCACTTTAAGATGTTTTCTTGTTCATGTTTTTTGTTTGTTGCGATTGCACCCGATTCAAGAGCCGAATGGCTCACAGGGCTATACCAACATAAATGAAACTGTAAACATTCGGTAAAGTCACGTAGGTATAAAATAAAACAAAACCAATTAAATCACGACGTTTCGATTGATGATGATTGCTTGTGTTGCGATCGAAACGTCGCGATTTAATTTGTTTTATACCTACTACGTGACTTTACCGAAATAACCAAAGAGTATGGATCCCTGCAGTCACCAAAACTTCAAATCTAGAATCTATGTTCCACTTTGGAGCCCCAAATGTAAGGGTGCGAATTAAAAAAAAGAGTCCTTTGTACCTGCTTCATCTTCCAACTAAACATCTGGCAGGTCACCAGCATCGGTCCATGCAAGCCCGGCTCTGCTGATGAGACACTGAATGGCGAAACTGGTAAATATATCTATGAACATCTATTTCAATGTTACAAGGTAAGGGCCCACTGAGCTACGGACCACTTTTTCAGAAGCGATCTGGCCACAAATGCGAGCTCAACATCACGTGGACATTTATAGCAGCAGGCAAAGACTCTAAACGCGTGACGTTGATTCTAAATGTGGAGGGAAAAACCGGAGGACCCGGGGAGAGAGACACGCAGACTCCAAATATACAGCAGCAGCAGCAGGCATCGCCAGGGTCGGGATCGAACCCACGACCTCCTGCGTACCGGGCGAGGGAGACGACGTCTTCCTCGCCACCGCACGACGCGAGGCGCGGTACAAATGGCGAAGCAACTCTTGAACCCCGACGCACGACGAGCGGATGAATCGCACCGCACAGCACCACATTGCACCACACCGCACCACACCACACCGCACACCGCGGCGGGCAAGTTGCTGTGGGGACGATGCCAGGAGCCACGTGGACCGAATCGTCGCCCGGCAGCCGTGCTCATGGCGGTTATGGGTAATTGTGTTGGTGCGTTGCGCTGTACCTCGAGTGGCCAACACAGATTACTGAGACAAGCGACGCTGACGTTTGTGTAATTTATTATTGAGACAAATCACAAAAATGTGGACAGCCCGCGCGTCATTGTATGCCAGAAGCCCCAGCGGATAAGTGGGTGGGTGGGTGAGTGAGTGAGTGGGTGGGTGAGTGAATGAGTGGGTGGGTGGGTGAGTGGGTGAGTGAGTGGGTGAGTCAGTGGGTGGGTGAGTGGGTGAGTGGGTGGGTGAGTGAGTGAGTGGGTGAGTGGGTGAGTGGCTGAGTGGGTGGGTGAGTGGGTGGGTGGGTGAGTAGGTGGGTGAGTGAATGAGTGAGTGGGTGGGTGAGTGAGTGGGTGGGTGGGTGGGTGAGTGAGTGAGTGAGTAGGTGAGTCAGTGGGTGGGTGAGTGAGTGGGTGAGTAGGTGGGTGGGTGGGTGAGTGGGTGAGTGGGTGGGTGGGTGAGTGGGTGAGTGGGTGGGTGGGTGAGTGAGTGGGTGGGTGGGTGAGTGGGTGAGTCAGTGGGTGGGTGAGTGGGTGAGTGAGTGGGTGAGTGAGTGGGTGAGTAGGTGGGTGAGTGAGTGAGTGGGTGAGTCAGTGGGTGGGTGAGTGAGTGGGTGAGTAGGTGGGTGAGTGAGTGGTTGAGTGAGTGAGTGGGTGAGTAGGTGGGTGGGTGGGTGAGTGGGTGAGTGAGTGGGTGAGTGAGTGGGTGAGTGAGTCGGTCAGCGGGGACATGCGAGCGGCCGTCCGGCCGGTCACTGCACGGCCGCGACGAGCATGGCCCTGAGCCGCGTCATGTCGCACCGGACCATGATGCGCGCCTTGACCAGCGGCGGGTCCTCCATGATGCCCAGCCAGTCCACCACCATCTGGCCGCGCGTGAGAGCGCCGTGCAGCTCCACGCGCACCTGAGCACGTGGAGCACGCGGAGCACGCGGAGCACGTGGAGCACGTGGAGCACGTGGAGCACGTGGAGCGTCAACGACAAGGGTCCCCCCCCCCCGCGTAAGCCTCGCACGGGCCGTCGGGGCAAGTGCCGTTAGCGGCGAGCAGAAGCGGCGACGGGGTGCGGCCGGTGGCGATGTTTTACGCACCGCACCAGGTACTCATTCGAGGCCGAGTCGACCTAGGAGAGGCCCAGGACCCGTTCAGAAAATCGCCACCGGTGTTGGCCGTCGGCGGGTATCGAACTCGCCTCGTCGGGTTCGTAGCGCAGCAGCGCGCTAACCGTTGCGCCCCCACACACACACGTGCCAATACACGGTGCTGTTGTGGGGGGGGGGGGCTTTAACCTGCGCTCTACAAAGGCAGAGAGAGAGCTCTCTCTGTGAGCCTGTGGGGGTCCAAATATCAACACTGATGCTGCCACCTGGATGGAGGGGGGGGGGCATAACCCCCCCGTGCCCCCTCCCTCCACCCCCCCAGTGCCCCCCCCCCCCCGGTGCCCCACTCACCGAGTGCTCTGCCCACTGGGTGACGAAGTCCGGGTCCAAGGCAGCGGCCACTGCGTAGGTATCGCACGGCACGAAGCCCGGGCCGGCAAACAGCTCCTGGTGTCCACAGAGACGGGGCAGAGGTATGTAGGCATGTTGTTTGTATGTTGTATGCGTGCTGCATGCGTGCTGCATGCGTGTTGCATGCATGTATGTTGAACTTCTTTAGCATCGTGCGTAGCCAACCGTGACAATCGGAGGTGCGCTCTAAAGAAGTGAGTTTTCGAACGAGATTATTGAAAAGCTCAGAGCTCCCAGTGGCTTCCTCGTCGTGATGGGAGACCGAGGGGGAGATGATGGGAAGTGAGGAGGTAGGGAGATGAGTGGAGAGGGTGGGTGAGTGAGAGGGTGGGTGGGTGAGAGGGTGGTGAGCAGGAGGATCGTGAGCAACAGGCGGTGAGTGAATGAGAGAAGGTGCTGAGCGTGAAGGTGGTGAGAAGGTGGTGAGTGGGAGGGTGGTGAGCGAGTTGGGAGGGTGGTGAGCGGGTGGGGGTGGTAAGCGAGTGGGATGGGTGGTGAGCGAGTGGGGAGGGTGGTGAGCGAGTGGGGGTGGTAAGCGAGTGGGAAGGGTGGTGAGTGAGTGGGGGGGGGGTGGTGAGCGAGTGGGAAGGTTGGTGAGTGGGGGGGGGGTGGTGGTGAGTGAGTGGGAAGAGTGGTGAGCGAGTGGGGGGTGGTGAGTGAGTGGGGGGGTGGTGAGTGAGTGGGAAGGTTGGTGAGTGGGGGGGGTGAGTGAGTGGGGAGGGTGGTGAGTGATACCACAGATCCGCGGCCAGCCTCCCGTGCGAAGGCGGCGCTCTTCGCCGAGATGCGCTTCACGAAGCGTCCCCGCTCCGTGTCGGTGGCGGTCCACTCGTCGTAGAACTCCTGCAGCAGCAGCAAGCGTGGGTGGGTGAGCGGCGGTGTGAGTGAGTGGGTAGGCGAGCGGGTGAGTGGGTACGTGAGCATATGAGTTTGCGGGTAGGTGAGCGTATGAGTGAGCGGGTAGGTGAGCGTGTGAGTGAGCGGGTAGGTGAGCGTGTGAGTTAGCGGGTAGGTGAGCGTGTGAGTGAGCGGGTAGGTGAGCGTGTGAGTTAGCGGGTAGGTGAGCGTGTGAGTGAGCGGGTAGGTGAGCGTGTGAGTTAGCGGGTAGGTGAGTGTGTGAGTGGGTAAGTGAGCGTGTGAGTTAGTGGGTAGGTGAGTGTGTGAGTGGGTAGGCACCTCCTCGTTGGTCCCAGACGGCAACGCTATGGTGGGCAGTGCCGTGGGGGGGAGGGCCAATTTAGATTGACCATTCCCCTCTTGGCGTTTGTAACCATCACAGCGGCCAACTGGGGGCTCTGGACGGGTGCGAGGGGCTGGTAACCCCTCCACCTTCAATTAATTACCACAAAACCACATCTAAAATATCTAATTAAGCTTGTGCCAGAGGCTCCGGGGGGACAGGCGTCTATGACGTCTCCTGGCCAAACCCCATTTGGCGGAGCCAGGAGACTGAATCCTTACCCTCGGGGCTCCTCCAGAAACTACAAAAAACCAATGTGGGTAGCCACATGGAATGTTCGAACGCTCACTGTGGAGGAGAGGTTGCCACTCCTCTATCGGGTACCGCATGGATCTCTGTGGTATTCAGGAGGTCCGGTGGATCAGCTCTGGCTCCTGCCACCATGAGGGTTGGACAGTCCTCTACTCGGGGCAGCAGACTGCCAAACAACGGGAAGTGGCTCTTCTTCTGAACAAAAGAGTGAAGGGGGCGTGGGAGCGTGGCGATGAGGTGTGGGAAGCGGTAAGCCCCAGGCTACTTTTGGCTCGCCTTCCCATCAACCGGAGGCGAGGAGTGGTGGTCGTGGTTACTTATGCTCCCACCGAAGACAAACATCTGTGGAGGGATGCAGGCAAGGCCGATGAGTCAGATGCCTTCTATGACCTGTCACAGGTGCTAGCTAAAGTGGCCCCTCGGGATAGAGTCATCTTGTTGGGTGACTTCAATGTCCGACTTGGTCATGATGCTGGCACCTGGTCTAGGGTGATTGGAAGGCATGGGCCAGATCAGCTCAATACCAATGGTAGGAGGCTGCTAGATTTTTGTGCAGCTCATGGGCTTGTAATTTCTAACACGCTGTTCCAGCATCGGCGTATCCACACAACATCATGGATGCATGCCGGGTCTAAGCAAGAACATCTACTGGACTAAATAGTGATGGAACAGCGGATGCGGGCCCATGTCCTTGACACCAGGACCTACCGTGGAGCTGATCTGCCAACTGACCATTGACTTGTCATCTGTAAGATGAGCGTGCCATTCTTCCACTCCGGTGGTGGGTGTACATCCAGGACCCCATTCAAAACTAAAGTATCCTGGTCTCAGCTAGCTGATGAACGTTGCAAGCGAGAATTTCATCATCACTTGCGGCTGGGGTTGGCATCGTCCCCCACTCCTCCAGATGTTGAGGGGCAATCGGCGAGGTTTAAGACTGTGACTCATGCGGCTGCAATCGCTGCTTTGGGTACACGGTCAGGACCTCCCCAGAGACCCTGGCTGACAGAGGAGGTGTTCAGGCTGGCTGAGAAAAAGCGACAGGCCCACTCTCATCGTCTACAGCATCTCACGTCAGAGAATGAGGAGGCTTACCGCAGCCTTCAATTGGAGGTTCGGAGAGCCGAGAGGCGCTGCAATGATGGGTGGTGGTCGTGGGCTGCTGGCCCGCGATCACAAATCTCTATTTAACTCCATAAAAAAGTAACCTGCAGCGCCACATCTATTACCATCATTGGGGAATTAACTGTGATCCAATCTCCGATCCCCAGGAACAGGTTTGCAGATTTGCTGAGCATTTCTGTGAGGTCCTGGGGGAGGGGAAATCCCTCAGCCTGGAAACATCGTGGGACAAAGTGGGAATGACCCTGCTGAGGCTGCGGTGTTTCAAATATTGGAAGAAGTCACCCCCTGTGAGTGGCTGGCTGAGGCGCCATCTGTTGAGGAAGTGCTGAAGGCAATCTAGAGCCTGAGACCAGGAAAGGCACTGGGCAGAGATGATCTCCCAAGCGAAATGCTGAGGGAGGGTGGCATTTCTGCACTGACTGTCCTAAATGATATCATAACAACAGTCTGGACCACTGGTCGGGTTCCGCAGGATTGGAAGGATGCCCTAGTGGTCCCCCTCTTTAAGAAGGGGGACCACACAGACTGTAACAACTATAGGGGCATCTCACTCCTCAGTGTGCCGGGAAAGGTCCTGGCAAGGATTATTCAACATCGCCTTGCAAGGCACGCTCAGGAGAGGCTTGCGGAGCCCTAATGCGGTTTCAGGAAAGGGCGGTCCTGCACAGATGCCATGTTTTCTGTCTGTCTGCTACAGCAGAGGTGTAGGGAATTCCAACAAAACCTACATCTCTGCTTTTTTGACCTTGTCAAGGCCTATGATACCATCAGTAGGCCTGGGGCCTGGGTTATTCTTCATACTTTCGGAGTCCCTAACCTTCTGCTCACGTTCATTAAGGACCTTCATGATGGTGCACAGGGCCAGGTAAAATTATGTGGCCGGGAGTTGGAGCCATTCCCTGTTAACCTTGGAGTGCGACAGGAATGTCCTCTGGCTCCCACATTATTTAACATATTTTTCGACCATGTAGTTCGTGAAACCTTTGATGGCTGTGCTGGAGGAATTTCCATCTGGTACAGATACAATGGGAGGCTGATCGATGCCCGGGTTTGGTCAAGGAATGGTTCCCTATTGGTCAACCACATTATGTATGCTGATGATCTGGTAATTGCTACTCACTCAGAGAAGGAGTTGGAGGCGCTGCTGCTGAACCTGGAGCTTGCCACCAAGAGGTGGGGCCTTACCATCAGCCCCACCAAAACGGAGCACCTGCCTGGGTATTTTGTACCATTGGACACTCCACCCCCACAACTCCCAATTGGTGATGGTGCAGTTGTGAAGAGAGTGGAGAGTTTCCCATACCTGGGCAGTGTGCTCATGACCGGCTCCGGTTTGACAGCAGAGGTCTCACTCAGAATAATTCGAGTGGCATTATCTTTTCATCGGTTGCGTAACGCTGTGTGGAAGCTGCCTGGTCTGTGACTCAGCACGAAGCTTCAGGTCTTCTTCGCCACAGTCATTCCCTCCCTTCTCTACGTTTGTGAAACGTGGACCTCCCTAAAGTAACATCTTCGCTAGTTAGAAAAGTTAGGCTGCCTGCCTACGATCCATGCTGGATTTAACCAGGCTGGATTGTGTGAGGAGCTCACAAATCCTTGAAAGATCTGGACAAAGTCCCATCGGTGAGCTCCTCTGGCATGCAAGGCTGCGTTGGCTGGGTGATGTAGCCTGTATGCCCAGCCACCGCATTCCTAAACAGCTTCTGTTCGGCCAGATAGAGGGGGCTAAATGGGCGCGGCACGGGCTAGAGAAGAGATGGAGGATGTGGAGCTGAGTGGACTTGCCGATGACTGGTACCAGCGGTGTTAAGATTGGCCTCTGTGGATGAGGCTCGTGAAGGATGCTACTGGGCAGTTGGAGGCAGTCGCCCTCCAACAACAACGGAGGGTGGAGGAGCGACGCTCACAACAGCGAGCGGAGCGCCGGGTGGCTAAAGCACAGCAGGTTGGCACAGTAGGGGGCACAGGTGGTGCATCAGCCAGTCATCTCAGTCAGTCGACCCGTGGCACCTGGGTCTGCCCCGTGACCTTCTGCCAGCGGGCGTTCGACACTTCACGTGGCCTCAGGGTGCACATAGCCTGGCACAAGCGTCGTGGTGACGTCACCGCCACTTAGTGGCGAATGGCGGTTGTTGTTGTTGTTGTCTCTGTGTGTGGTGTCTCTGTGTGTGTGGTGTCTCTGTGTGTGGTGTCTCTGTGTGTGTGGTGTCTGTGTGTGTGTGGTGTCTCTGTGTGTATGGTGTCTCTGTGTGTGCGGTGCCTCTGTGTGTGCGGTGTCTCTGTGTGTGCGGTGTCTCTGTGTGTGGTGTCTCTGTGTGTGCGGTGTCTCTGTGTGTGCGGTGTCTCTGTGTGTGCGGTGTCTCTGTGTACGTGGTGTCTCTGTGTATGTGGTGTCTCTGTGTGTGCGGTGTCTGTGTGTGCGTGGTGTCTCTGTGTGTGTGGTGTCTCTGAGTGTGCGGTGTCTCTGTGTGCGTGGTGTCTCTGTGTGTGTGGTGTCTCTGTGTGCGTGGTGTTCCTGTGTGTGTGGTGTCTCTGTGTGTGTGGTGTCTGTGAGTGTGTGGTGTCTATGTGCGTCTGTGTGTGGTGTCTCTGTGTGTGTGGTGTCTCTGTGTGTGCGGTGTCTCTGTGTGCGTGGTGTTCCTGTGTGTTTGGTGTCTCTGTGTGTGTGGTGTCTGTGAGTGTGTGGTGTCTATGTGCGTCTATGTGTGGTGTCTCTGTGTGTGCGGTGTCTCTGTGTGTGTGGTGTCTCTGTGTGTGCGGTGTCTCTGTGTGTGTGTGTGGTGTCTCTCTGTGTGTGGTGTCTCTGTGTGTGTGGTGTCTCTGTGTGTGTGGTGTCTTTGTGTGTGTGGTGTCTCTGTGTGTGTGGTGTCTCTGTGTGTGCGGTGTCTCTGTGTGCGTGGTGTCTCTGTGTGTGTGGAGTCTCTGTGTGTGTGGTGTCTCTGAGTGTGCGGTGTCTCTGTGTGCGTGGTGTCTCTGTGTGCGTGGTGTCTCTGTGTGTGTGGTGTCTCTGTGTGTGTGGTGTCTCTGTGTGTGTGGTGTCTCTGTGTCTGTGTGTGTGGTGTCTCTGTGTGCGTGGTATCTGTGTGTGTGTGGTGTCTCTGTGTGTGTGGTGTCTCTGTGTCTGTGGTGTCTCTGTGTGTGCGGTGTCTCTGTGTGTGCGGTGTCTCTGTGTGTGTGGTGTCTCTTGTGTGTTCGCCACAGTCATTCCCTCCCTTCTCTACGTTTGTGAAACGTGGACCTCCCTAAAGTAACATCTTCGCTAGTTAGAAAAGTTAGGCTGCCTGCCTACGATCCATGCTGGATTTAACCAGGCTGGATTGTGTGAGGAGCTCACAAATCCTTGAAAGATCTGGACAAAGTCCCATCGGTGAGCTCCTCTGGCATGCAAGGCTGCGTTGGCTGGGTGATGTAGCCTGTATGCCCAGCCACCGCATTCCTAAACAGCTTCTGTTCGGCCAGATAGAGGGGGCTAAATGGGCGCGGCACGGGCTAGAGAAGAGATGGAGGATGTGGAGCTGAGTGGACTTGCCGATGACTGGTACCAGCGGTGTCAAGATTGGCCTCTGTGGATGAGGCTCGTGAAGGATGCTACTGGGCAGTTGGAGGCAGTCGCCCTCCAACAGCAACGGAGGGCAGAGGAGCGATGCTCACAACAATGAGCGGAGCGCCGGGTGGCTAAAGCACAGCAAATTGGCACAGGAGGGGGCAGAAGTGGTGCATCAGCCAGTCATCTCAGTCATCTCAGTCAGTCGACCCGTGGCACCTGCGTCTGCCTCGTGACCTCCTGCCAGTGGGCGTTCGACACTTTACGTGGCCTCAACGTGTACATCGTCTTGCACAAGCGTCGTGGTGACATCACCACCACTTAGTGGCGAATGGCAGTTGTTGTGTGAGTGAGTGGGTAGGTCAGCGTGTCAGTGAGTGGGTAGGTGAGCGTGTGAGTGGGTAGGTAAGTGAGTGAGAAGGTGAGTGAGTGGGTAGGTGAGTGGGAAGGTGAGTGAGTGGGTCGGTGAGTGAGTGGGTAGGTCAGTGTGACAGTGAGTGGGTAGGTGAGCGTGTGAGTGGGTAGGTGAGTGATGGGGTAGGTGAGCGTGTGAGTGGGTAGGTGAGTGAGTGGGTCGGTGAGTGAGTGGGTAGGTCAGTGTGTCAGTGAGTGGGTATGTGAGCATGTGAATGGGTAGGTGAGTGAGTAATGGGGTAGGTGAGCGTGTGAGTGAGTGAGTGGGTAGGTGAGTCTCTGTGCTACAAACCCAGGGAATGACGTTGCGGACGGTAAATTCCCAGCTCGCAATGTGCAGCGGGCATCTGCAGCTCTCCAGCACCACGTAGGCAGCCTCAGGGTCCGCAGCAAAGTTAAATTCCCCGCACATGGTGCAGTTCCCACGCGCTGCATGCACCACAAAGGCAAAGATCCCCCGTGTAGTCTTAACACGCTTCATGGGACCTCCCTTTGCCAGTACCAACATATGAGAATAGGTTTTCACCCTTTTTTCTGGCAACAAAACAGTTGTGTTAAGATGATAAAACATGAAACTGAAACCTCTTACGAGGAATCGTGTCTGCATTAACCACAATTCTTGTGGTCAGAATGCAAAGAAAAAACATACTCTGATAATATGTGGCATTGTCTTTGAACCTGATTGGTCCAGACCGGAGAATGCCAAAAAGCCTTTTGGTGTCCTCTGGTCTAACACCGTTTTGAGACGAGGCTCGAAAGAAAGCTCTCTCTGGTGTGGGCCAATCAGTTTCAAAGACAATGCATCATACTACCAGAGTGTGGTTTTTGTTTCCATTCTGACCACAAGCATTGCGGTTAATGCAGTGACGTGATTCCTTGTAAAAGGTTTCAGTTTGGTGTCTTAACATCTTAACACAGCTGTTTTGTTGCCAGAAAAAAGGGGAAAACCTATTCTCTTAACATGCTGTTGGGGACAAGCGCTGTCATCGAATAGCAGCAGTGTTTATGCAGGCCGGCACGGCACACAAACCCATGGTTTAAATCTTGTTTGACTACTGATGAGACACTAAATGTCGAAACCAGTCCAGGGTTTTGCTCGTGAAGGTCTAAACCGGTCCAGAGTTCTCCTCAGGTTAAACCAATGGTTTTCAACTCACCTGACTACTGATAAGACACTCAATGTTGCGGATTTTGCCCGTGTTGAACCAATCCTTCAAGCGAGCCCGACTCTGCTGATGAGACACCAAATGTGTAAACGGGCACGGCGAGCACGCACCCTCCACGGTGCCGCCCATGATGAAGAGCTCCTTGAGGCGCGAGGTGAAGTCGGGGTCCATGCGCGTCGCAAGCGCCACGTTGGTCAGGGGCCCCACGGCCACGAGCGTTATCTGCGGGCGGCACGGAGCAGACTCACGACGGAGGCTGAGAGAACGAGACCTAAGGTGGGGAGTCTGGGCCGAGACCTAGGGTCCGAGCCTAGGCCGAGATCGAAGGTCGGAGCCTAGGCCGAGACCTACACCAGGGGTGGCAAGACCTATACAACCGAGAACTAGGCCACAGCCTAGGCTGAGACCTAGGCCGGAGCCTTTGCCAAGACCTTGGATTGGAGCCTAGGCTGAGACTTAGGCCGGAACATTTGCCGAGACTTAGGTGGGGGCCTTTGCCGAGACCTAGGGTCGGAGCCTAGGCCGAGACCTAGGCCAGAGCCTAGGCTGAAACATCGACTCTAATTATTTTGTTATTGATGAATGTACTGTATATATGTACAATGATACAAATCAATGGACCTGTCCCGGGTTCTCCTTGGCCAGACGGACGAGCGCATTGACCGCGTGCTCCTCCTGCTTCTTCACCGCCACGGGGCTCGGGTCGGGGGGGTCCGGGGAGTCCCCCAGACCGTCGTTGCCGTGGAACGAGGACGCGTCCATCGGCTTGGCCAGCAGCGGCGCGGAGGCCCCTAGGAACACGGGGACCTGCGGGGGACACGCGGGATTAGCTACGTACAGTGTGAAAGGAGTTCGACGTAAATGCATCATCACACGGGTGTCTCTCTCACACATACCACCACCACCCCCCATGTCTCTCTTTCCCAGTGTCTATCCCCTTGGCTCTTAACCCGCCTCTCCCCGTGTCAATCTCTGTCCAAGTCTCCTCTCTCCTCTTGTCTCTCAGCCCGTGTCTACTCCATTGGCTCTCACACCGTCTCTCTCCCTGTGTCTCGTGTGGTGAGGGGCGTGCTGCTGGCCACACCACCCCGTGTGCCGTGCCGGACTTCATAGATGCTGCTACTCACTGACAGTACTTGTCCCAACAGTGACTGTTCAAGGCTGTTCTGTATACTCTACCCGCTTTATCAATCTGCTGTTCGAGTTGCACTGGATGTACCATACAGGACCCACCATTGTGACCTTTACTATGCAAGTCACTATTTATTTGAGTGACTTTCTTACATTTGATCAATGTGGCACTCCTATCGTTTTTTGTACTGTTTGTTGTAACTTCCTCCTCCTCCAGTCTAAATAAAGATTCTGATTCGGATACGAGGGATTTTTTTTTTAACTAAACTTAAATTAAACTTTGTATTTAACCAGGTAGGGCACACTGAGCTGTATAGCTCTTGTTCAGAAGCGATTTGGCCACAAACGATAGCTCAACGAAGTGGCTCATCAAGTGGAAATGTATAGCAGCCAAATGCTCTAAACGCACGTTGTTTCTAAATGTGGAGGGAAAAACCAAAGGACCTGGAGAAAGTCCACGCAAAGGACCCGGATCAAACCCACAACCTCCTGTAGACCAGGCGAGGTAGTTAACATCTCACCACAGAGAGAGACACACGCAGACTCCAAATTTTCAGCAGGCGTCAGGGTCGGGATCGAACCCACGACCTCCTGCAGACCAGGCGAGGTAGTTAACATCTCACCACAGAGAGAGAGAGACACGCAGACTCCAAATTTTTAGCAGGCGTCAGGGTTGGGATCGAGCCCAGGAAACTCCTGTAGACCAGGCGAGGTTGTTAACATATCCGAGCCAACGTGGCGCCCCTTTTGTCTTGGGGGTGAGTGGTGCGGGTGAGGACCCCCAACCCCACCCCCTCCTCACCCGCGCGCTCGCTCCGCACGCGCGCAGCACGCGCGCCACGTTGTCCGCCACCTGGCGCACGTGCGTGTTGCCGTTGCAGCACGTGACGGCGAGCACGCGCGCGCGCGCGGCGTCTCCCAGGGCGATCATGAGCGCGTGGGCGTCGTCCACGCCGCAGTCAACGTCCAGCACCAGCAGCTTCTGAGGCACGGCACCAGCTGGGGGCGGGGCTGAGGAGGGCGGGGGCAGGTGGGGGGGGGGGTCAAGGGGGGAGGTGGGGGGTCAAGGGGGGGTCAAGGGGGGAAGATGGTGAATCGACCGATTTGGAAGGATACAAATCTTGATCCGTGATCGATCCATGCTCGAACACATAGGCACATGTATACTGAAAGAACCAAAAAGTGTGGATTCCTGCAGTCACGAAAGCTTCAATGTAGATTGAACCGCCTCTACGGGGAGGGTTTTCACACATCTGTTAGAGCTTTTAACAGGCTGCGAGACAAGAAGGCTCACCTGATTGAGTCGCTCACCTTTCTCAAGAGATGCCGCGATAACAAGGTAATACCGATCGCATTTACACTCACATCTGCTGCTGTCACTTCTCCTAATGCTAAATAGATCTTGTTTAAAGCTAGCCTATTGCTCATCTCAGAGAGAATAAGAATGCTCCGATTTGAACTTGATTATTTAGACAAGACTTCTACAATCACACATTCAAAATTCACGGATAAAATGTCCACTTCTGATTGGGACCATGTAGATAACATGACAGTCTCTTTTGCTACTTCAATGTCAACCAAATGTAAAGTTAACTTGATCTCTAAATTCAACCTCCCGTCAAAATAGAAGCCAGAGCCACACGTGAAAAAGTTATATGTTAACAAGATTGTCATCAATCATAGTAACATGTTAACAAGATTGTCATCAATCATAGTAACATGTTAACAAGATTGTCATAAATCAGAGTAACATCCTAATTTCCGACAGCCTAAAATCGGTACTAGCTAAAGGGTTGAATTTCGCAGTCACCCCTAAACATATCCCAGTGGATGATATAATCGCCCAGGTCGACGTAGCCCTCAAAGGCTTGGGACGCATCCCGACAGACGTTGCTAGATCTGAAATTGCCACCATCCTTAAAAATGCTAAGAAACCCATCAGCAACATCAGCAAAGACGAGCGCTCTGAACTTGCCAAATTGAAAAAGAGAGATGACATAGTCATCCTCTCGGCCGACAAGGGCAATGCTACTGTCATCATGGATAAAACCACATACAACAACAAAATCCAGGACCTTCTTAATGATGGCAGTTACACCAAAATCAACAAAGATCCTACTAACCGCCTGGCTACAAAAACCAATAATATCATTACCAGATTGACTTCTCAAATTGAACCAGTCAAACGGCTCTGCCTAAAACCTTCTGCTACTAGACCACCCAGATTCTATGGTCTTCCTAAAATCCATAAAGAAGGCACTCCACTTCGGCCCATCGTTTCCACTATCAACTCACCTACCTACAAACTGGCCCGTTTTCTGTCTGACACCTTACTTCCATTCACGGGCAAGACTACCTCAGCAGTACGTAACTCAGCTCACTTGATCTCTCCAATCAAGGGCATTTTACTGTCCCCAGATGATTAGCTCGTCAGCTTTGATGTAGATTCTCTGTTCAACAAGGTTACTGTTCCTGACACCTTAGCAATAATTGAAGACTTAGTCCAACATGGACTGAATCCTGATGTACCTACTCTGGTTAGGCACTGCCTTACCAACACTTACTTCACCTGGAATGGTACTTTTTACAAACAAAATCAAGGTACCCCCATGGGTTCCCCCTTATCACTAGTGATAGCGAATGTTTTCATGGAGAAATTTGAAACATATGCCATCCAGACATCCACCCTACGTCCTTTCTTGTGGAAGAGATATGTAGATGACACTTTCGTCATTTGGCCACATGGTCTGCCAGCTTTGAACCAATTTATCAACCACATCATTCCATACTCCCATCCATCAAATTTACCATGGAAGTGGAGAAGGATGGTAAGCTACATCTTCTTTGGTTCTTTCGGTAAAGTCACGTAGAATGAGAATAAAATAATAAATTGATAAAATAAAATAACACAATAATATTCTCTTGTGAGAATAAAATAACACAATAATATTCTCTTGTGAGAATAAAATAACACAATAATATTCTCTTGTGAGAATATTATTGTGTTATTTTATTTTATCAATTTATTATTTTATTCTCATTCTACGTGACTTTACCGTCACGAAAGCTTTAAATCGAGATGGTAAGCTACCTTTCCTGGATGTTTTGTTTGAGAAGAGACCTGACGGCTCGTTGGGAGATTCGGTCTACAGGAAATCCACCCACACAGATTCCTATCTGAAACCTGATTCCCACCACCACCCGGCACCGAAGAATTCCCTCATCAAAACACTACACTACAGGGCCCACTGCATTTCCGACCAACACCACCTAGCCAGTGAACTGGAACACGCACACCAGGCCCTCAAGATGAATGGGTACTCGGACCGCACAATCTGCAAAGCTGTTTCTCCAACCATGGAGAAACAACCCCCTGTGCAGCCAATTAAAACCATCATTATACCATACATAGCAGGTGTTACCAAAAATATTTCCAAAATCTTAAACAAACACAAGATCCAGGTCCGATTCACAGTACACAAAATCTGTGATCTAATCCCATCTGTGAAGGATGTCATTCCTGACATGCAATATCCTGGAGTTTACAAACTGAGTTTTACCTGCGGCAGCGGTTACATCGGGGAAACGAAACGACATGTCTCGGACCGTGTCCGCGAGGCAGATCTGAAACACGGCAGGACCAATACCTCTGCCGTTGCTGACCATTGCTATAACGCTGTGGGCTTGCATGATATTGTTTTTACCGATACCAAGGTACTCTGCAAACCTTCGGGCTACTATCAAAGGTTTGTTCATGAAGCCATGCAGATATATAAACATAGATATAACATCAACCGAGAAGATGGATACAAATTGAGCAATCATTGGAAGGATGTTATTAACCAGGTAAAACCCTAACTGCTTTATGGTTGTTGTCTATCATATCTGCCGGGTACTAGTCTATTTTTTCCGAGTTAACTTCCCCCCCCGCATCCCCAGCTCTCTCCGCCTCCCACTTCCAGCCCCGTCCACTTCTCCCCCCCCCCCCCCCCCCCCCAGCCTCACGTCCCTCTCCTCACGTCCACGCAGCACTCCCCTACCCCACCCCCCCCCTCTCTCTCTCTCCCCTTGCCCCTCCCCCCTCTCTTACCTATATAACCTCTTACCACGGCAGCTCTCTCTCCCACTTCAGCAAAAAAGATGTTGCTGTGGTTTTCCCACCTGATGATGATTGCTTGTGTTGCAATCGAAACGTCGTGATTTATTTTATACCTACGTGACTTTACCGACAGAACCAAAGAGCATCATTGGCATGCTCAAAAGCGACGATTTGTGGATCGCACGTGATGTCTTGGATGGCAGGGAGGATTTGTGGACCGAAAGAGCCCCACATTCGGCACCGCCTTGAAGCTTGAATGCTTTCCTTCTGCATGAACGCAACACATAATTTATTCTGTCACGTATTCATTATAGCCCATCGCATCGCCTTTAAAAAAAATGTATTGAGCCACTTTCTGTATTGTGTACAGTACTGTGATTATATATCTATCCCGGGGCTATGCCGCTCTACAGCTTGTCTGTACGTCGGCTGTCGGGGAATGTCAATTGATGCATGCCATTCTGGGGTGAAAAACTTGCTGGTTCAACCGGTTATCGCTTCATAGCACCGAGTCTTCTTGTCACTTACAACGCGGGGAAAGCTGACATTGAGTGTTGGTGTCTTGATAGGGTGCGAGTGATTGGAGTGAGTGTGCGTGCAAGTGTTTGCAGTTTAACACGTAGGCTTTCGCGACCAATATCCACAAACAGGTTTATTTTGTTTAAGATCGCATACATCTATAAAGGTGTCGTTAAACCCACCACCACCCGACACACAGCCAATTAGTAAGGTTTGTCACGTAATCAGAACGTGCCAATTCATTACTAGTACAGAACACTGGTGTGTTGGAGAGTAAACCAGCAATATTTACCTTCTGAGTACGACGTTAATTACAACTATAGCTTCATCAGGCTGATGACGTTTCACCAGTAATTACAACTAGCTTCATCAGGCTGATGACGTTTCACCAGTAATTACAACCAGCTTCATCAGGCTGATGACGTTTCACCAGTAATTACAACTAGCTTCATCAGGCTGATGACGTTTCGTCAGTAATTACAACTAGCGTAATCAGGCTGATGACGTTTCACCAGTAATTACAACTAGCTTCATCAGGCTGATGAAGTTTCACCAGTAATTACAACCAGCTTCATCAGGCTGATGACGTTTCACCAGTAATTACAACTAGCTTCATCAGGCTGATGACGTTTCGCCAGTAATTACAACCAGCTTCATCAGTCTGACGACGTTTAACCAGTAATTACAACTAGCTTCATCAGGCTGATGACGTTTCACCAGTAATTACAACTAGCGTCATCAGGCTGATGACGTTTCACCAGTAATTACAACTAGCTTCATCAAGCTGATGACGTTTCACCAGTAATTACAACTAGCTTCATCAGGCTGATGACGTTTCACCAGTAATTACAACTAGCTTCATCAGGCTGATGACGTTTCACCAGTAATTACAACTAGCTTCATCAGGCTGATGACGTTTCACCAGTAATTATACAACTAGCTTCATCAGGCTGATGAAGTTTCGTCAGTAATTACAACTAGCTTCATCAGGCTGATGACGTTTCACCAGTAATTATACAACTATCTTCATCAGGCTGATGAAGTTTCATCAGTAATTACAACTAGCTTCATCAGGCTGATGACGTTTCGTCAGTAATTACAACTAGCTTCATCAGGCTGATGCCTTTCTACCAGTAATTACAACTAGCTTCATCAGGCTGATGACGTTTCACCAGTAATTACAACTAGCTTCATCAGGCTGATGACGTTTCACCAGTAATTATACAACTAGCTTCATCAGGCTGATGAAGTTTCGTCAGTAATTACAACTAGCTTCATCAGGCTGATGACGTTTCACCAGTAATTACAACTAGCTTCATCAGGCTGATGACGTTTCGTCAGTAATTACAACTAGTTTCATCAGGCTGATGACGTTTCGTCAGTAATTACAACTAGCTTCATCAGGCTGATGACGT